TTAATAGTAACCACACTTTCATGGTTAAAACATGATCTAAGGTTAACATTTCATTTTACTACAAAAGGGGATAGGATTTCTTTTGTATTTTATCTTTACAGCTATTTACATCCAGGTATTTTCTACTGTTGAAACACAGATATTAACAGATAGAAAAGTCTGAATTCCTTATAATACTTTCTCTTTGAACACTGGTTTAGCCTTAAGATACTTCAGATTCCTTTTTTCATTTACCCTTTGGACATTAAACAGTGAAAGTAACTCTGAAGATGACTGATTTTTGTAAAACCTCTAAATATTTTATTATTCTTTTAACATTATCTGAGGACTTATCTCAGTTGGATCCCAGAGGTCTGTAGCACCTGAAATTGTCCTGCCTTCCTCAAGCTGCTGCACAACGCACTTCTTACACAGGCACTTCTGCAGGTGCATAAATGTATTTTATCTCAAGGTTGATACTATCTTGATACTACTTTCTTTTTCTACACTGTGGATTTGTTCTAATGGCAGAGACTGGTTTTGCTCAATCATTCACTGAAAATGGACACTCTCAGTGTTTGTACCAACAGTGCTACACTTCTGGCTGCACATTCCTGATGCTTGCTGTTCCTCCAAGCTGCTGACTGAATAAATGCTGAAGTGTACTGGTTTAACCAGCCTGTCAGGGATTAAACATCAGAGGAAAGATAACAGCCCATGTAATCAGTTCGCTGATCTGATGCAATAAAGTAGGGGAGAAGGTGATGTTTGTAGTTCCTTTGCCTTGCTGACAGGTTGAGAAATGCTGCTTTAATGTTTAAGGAGAGGAAACAGAAAAAGAATGAAGGTGACTAAAAATCACCTCTATAACATCCTGAGTCTCACATTTTGTTGCAGCTCTCTCTTGAAAATGGCAGCCTCTCCCAGACTCACTTCAGCTAGAGGTCTAGGCTTTCTCTCTTAGGTTTAAACCTAACCCTACCTTCAGGGTTAGCCCTACACAGGGTTCCCTGAGCTCTGCCCAGGTGAAAAATATTTCTGTCAGTTATTTTCATTCTGATTTTTATTAAGCAGAATATGTCTGAATTCCCCCTTCAGCGAGAGGTAATAAAGGTGCAAGGAGTCACTGGCATTAATATCTTACTTGCAAAATGTGCAGTTTCTGTACTTAACTGCTGCAGCTATGCTGTTCATTGCTGTGCAATGTAGGGAAGTAACAGCTTTGAGAACCTCCTCATGGCTACATATCCTAAAGTCTTAATGAAACAACCACTCTCTGCTGTTAGACTGCTTGCTATAGTTTCCATCACTAATTTAATAAAGCAACACATTGTGATGGGAGGATTGAGTGTAAGAGAGTGTTTGCGATCATACTCTCTGCTTTGGGAAGCATCATTCTTGGCACTTGTATGTAGCAGGCTGGGTTTAGTATCCAAGGAGTGTATTGTAAAACCTGAGACAGTTTGGACTTTCTAGATAGAGAATGCTTTTGAAAAGTAGTCTTCAGTCTTGAGCTTGGTTTTATGCATTTGTCTGTTGACGACCTTGAGCGGTTAAAATCGAACAAATGTAACTGACCACATGAGTGACTAAGAAGTAATTCGGCTATTTAAATGTTAAACTTGAAACGTTTTCTATGTTATTTTCTGATTGATTACACAGGGTAAAGTCATAGCTATTTCATAATAGCATGCTAAAAAATGTTTCATTTGTTTCCTGTGTGATTACGGTTAACATTCTTTCTTTGCTTTTGAATAATGACAAGCGCTGTGATCACAAAAAGGAGTGATGCAGGTGGAGAATGAAGTTACACATGCTTGGAAATTCCAATGAAACAAAGCCCATGAGTGACATGTTGACAATATATTTTGTGTGCAAACACTCTCTAACAGCCTCCCCAGTGTTGTGCTTCCAGATCAGAGGGAAAAAAGTTTGAAATGCAGTAAAAAATGGTAAATATTTGAAGTTTCTTCTCCTTGGCGTGGATTATGAAATAGTAATCTATTACATTGTAAATCTTTCTGTACCATGCAAATCCATTTACAAGGATTAGGAGATTGTAACAAAGATGATCATATTTCAAGCAGTACCAGTGTAAGTTAACCTTTTCTCCTGCAGGATTTCATAGTCTTCACCCAACATGTTGTATACACTGACCCAAATGAGCAGGTGCTTTGCATTTATGGCGAATCTTAATTCACAGCATAATAAAGAAGAAAGTTTGGTTACAAGGCTGTGCTGCACATTCAGTCTCTGACTGGACTCAACAATAGCTGAGGGTGTGCAGTGGAGCAAAGAGTACGCAATCAGTGACCCCTTGCCCCTTTGGTGGGGGAGAATTCTAGTAAAACACAAAGAAGCTGCTGTTTCTGCTTTTGCTGCTATCAGTCCAGCATTCCTAACGAGAGCAGTGGCTGTTAAATCTATTTCTGTGATTAGCTGCTTGAGCAAGAGCAGTGAAAAAATAAGTATAATTGTTCTATGTCACTTCTATTCCTTTCATGCAGATAGAAGCATCTGTCTTCCCTCGATTTCTTCTGTACATTCAAGGTACTCAGCATTTGGCCAGCATTTTGCACTAATTCTGATTCAGTGAGAAGGACTGAGTTGCTGTGCAAGGAAACAATTCCATGAGGAGCATTGGTTTACACCACTGATCAGGGTTTGCAGAGTTGGTGTTACCTTGTCATAATTCTAGAAGTAATTCTGAACGGATATGGAATTTAAAAATGAAACACAAAGCAGAATTTATGAAGGATTATGATTTAGTAGCTCTTAGATCCTTTTGCAAACCTGTCACTCTAGTCTTATCTAGTATCAGTTTTCATATTGAGATTTTCTGTCTCCCTTTGGATTTGCCTATTATCAATCACGACTAATCTGGTTAATTAGTACCATACTTAAAAGCCTCCTTTGCTAGCTGTGAGAGATAGGAGGGTAAGCGAAAGGGAAAATTAAGATACATGGTACAGATTGACAAATACAGATCAGAAATCAGAGACTGTAATCCAGACAAGTAAATTCAGACTTTTGGGTTTTCTTCTTGAATTCTGCATTCCCTGTCCTTTTTTTTTTCTTCTTACCATCAATTCAAATCTCTATAATTTTACACTCAGCAAAGACCACTGAATTTGCACACTAAAACAGACCCTTTGCACACTGAAACAGAGACTAGAACCTCACCCTTAGTTCCACCCCTCTAGAAATGACCACAACCTGTGCTAATGATAACGGTGGTGGTCCCTCTGCTGAACAACGATAACTACCATGTACTAACCAGCACATGGTACCTGTGCTTATGCTGAGTGCTACCTATTGCGATTAATTGCTGCTGCGAACCAAGCCTTTCTACAATAAATATAATGTAGAATAACATTTTATAAAACATAATATTGGAGATGACAAGGGAAGAGATTATTGCCGTGTCTGCCCTGGTGCAGAAAGCATGGTGCCTGGATGCTCCAAGATTTTAATTTGGGGCTAGGTGTTTGTAGCTTGGTCCCATAGCCTACAGTCCTGGAACAGCCTGGAGGTTTCCTTTGAAAAAGGAACCTGTTTGATGCATGCTGAGACCACACTGTATTTTGGGGAAGTTTGGCAAATCAGCTTTTAAAGGACACATCTCTTGACGTGCTGATGCAGAGGCACTCTAACTTTGCTGAGTGGACGATGAGTGGGAGGTGTCCCTGCCCATGGCAGGAGGGCTGGAAGTGGATGGTTGTCTTTCCAACCCAAACTGTTCTATGATTCTATGATATGTGATATGATCAAAAGCAGCATGAGCAGCAGATAGAGAGAAAGGATTCTGCCCCTCTACTGTGCTCTGGGGAGAGCGCCCCTGCAGTCCTGCATCCAGCTCTGGGGCAACAACACCAGAGGGACGTGGAGCTGTTGGAGCGAGTCGATGGAGATGCTGTGAGGGCTGGAGCAGCTCTGCTCTGGAGACAGGCTGAAAGAGCTGGGCTGGTTCAGCCTGGAGAAGAGAAGGCTCCAGGGAGACCTAAGAGCAGCTTCCAGTGCCTAAAGGGGCTACAAGAAAGCTGGAGAGAGGCTTTGGATGAGGGCCCGTAGGAACAGGCTAAGGGGGAACGGCTTTAACCTGACAGAGGGGAGACTGAGATGAGCTCTTAGGCAGAAGTTCTTCCCTGTGAGGGTGCTGAGGCGCTGGCACAGGTTGCCCAGAGAAGCTGCGGCTGCCCCACCCCTGGCAGTGTTCAAGGCCAGGTTGGACAGGGCTTGGAACAACCTGGTCTAGTGGAAGGTGTCCCTGCCCATGGCAGGGGGTTGGAACTGGATGAGCTTTAAGCTCACTTCCAACTGAAATCAGTCTAGGATTCTATGAAGAGAGAAAACAAAGCAGGTTTGGTAACCTGCCTCGAATCTTAAATACTGTCTTTTTCAGATGACGCTTAAGCTTTGCTATGTAAATGTTTTAAACCACTTTTTAACTTCTGCATTTCCCTCAGTTGCAAAAGCCTCTTGCTGAGCTTTGTTTAAAAGCTGGTAGTCATGTGTTCTTTTCTTTAACTTTCCCATCACAGCCACACTACCTGTGGAAAATAAGAAACCCATCTGCCAGCTGCCTCTCAACTGCAGAAGGTAGGATTCCACCTCCGGGCAGAAATAATCTCTTGTATTTTAGGCTGGCTGAGGGGTTACCCTTTATCCGTCCTCCTGCTTTTCTCGCTATCAGGCATTACCACAGCAGCGCTCGCCTCCGCAAGGCCAACGCTGACGCAGAAGCTCCGTTCCCGCCCCCCTCCGCAGCTCGGCCCCACAAAACGGCACCCCCCAGCTCTCCCTCCCCTCACGGACGACGTTTCAAACGTAACGGCTGGGGCCGGAAGTGCTGATGACGCCTCTCACCGCCAGGGGGCGCGCTAGCCCCCCCTTAGCCTACCCTCCCGCGTTGACGTCGGCAGGTGGGGCGGGGCTGCTGTCCGGAAGCGTCGCACGTGGGGCCGTGGTGGGGCGATGGGGTCCCAGTGGATACCGGGTGGGTATTGGGGATTCTCTTCCTTTTCCTTCCCGCTTCCCTTCCCACCCCTATCACCCCCTCGGCACCGGTCGGTAACTGTCCGCTGCTGTCGGCTCCACAGGGACCGCCGTGCGGCCCGCCGACGAGGAGATGCCTGAGCTATCCGACGGTGAGGAAGCCTGGGAGGAGGAAGAGCAGGAGGAGGAAGGCACCAGTGAGGGCCTGCGGACCCGCTGCCTTTTCTGCGACAGGTTTGGCAGCCACCCCGGGGCCGCGGTGTGCACTCGTTATCCCCACGCTGGGACGTGGCGGGGGAGGGGGGGGGGGGGGGGTCCTGAGGCGTGGTGGTACCCGTGCAGCTCCTGAGGAGGGGAGCCTGGAGGGTGAGTGCCCACAGCCGGCCCGCGGGAGCAGCTGTGTCACGGACATGAATAATACGTTGTTTATATCGGGGCGCTGTAGCCTGCTGGTGTTCTGTGTGGCCTCTCTAGAGCCAGAGGGCTGTTAAATACAAGCAAAACGAGGGAGAGAATGCGAAGGGTGTCCCCCTCTCCTCACTCTGAAGCAGCATGAAAGCTTCTCTTCTGAATTCTCTTCATCATCTTTTGCCCTCGTCAGTAAATAGATGTTAACTTTTATTGTGATGTTGCAGACCTCGCCGGTCAACTCTGTGCAGTTCTTAAATTTTGGGTTAAATGCTGTCTCTGCACTCAAGGAGGTTTTGAAAGTTAATAGTGCTTGTGGTTTTATCAGAGGTTTTACGTTTATTACATTTTGGTGTAAAATGTTTTGCAAACAAGGTAGAAGTTTTTCTGTAAGCAAGCGCCTGTTGATAGTTTATCAGAGGCAAAAATTATATGCTCTGAACACATTGCCTAGCAGGTCAGAACAGAGCATAGCAAATGTTTCTAAGTGTGTTCCAACTTCTCAGGGTGCTAATACTGCATGTTTAATAACTTGTTATTTACAGGTTGTTTACTTCTGCTGAAGGTGTGTTTTCCCACTGCAAAGCAGAGCATGAATTCAGTGTTTGTGATGTGATCCAGAAACATGGTAAGATTTTTCATGACTCGTTTTTTTCCTCCCATATACCACCGTGTCACTTAAAATAGGTTGCAAAGATTAGTTTGTTCCTGACTTCCTGCTTGTAGCTGGAGATTCCATGATTGATCAAGATAAGTTATTGTATTATGTGTTATCTTTATGTTGGCAGTTTCCCGTGTGCTTTATCTTCTGGTAAAGCTCTCAACTAGTCAAAAAATAAGATTGATCTCTGCTGGCTTATGCTGAGTTCCCACTGTCAACTTGATACTGCTGATGTCTTTTAAGCTGTTTGCAGTCTTGGCTTATGTTCCTTCAGGTCATCACAGGAAAGTACATCCTCCAATCTCTGTTTCATTCTTTACAAGTGAAGTTTAATGTTGGCCTTGAATTGAAGCTGTCATATATTTAGGCCAAGGTAGTGACTAAAGGAAGAAGGTGCAAATAGGAGGATGTATGTGCAGGGTATTACTATTTAAGCTCCTGTTATTTCTGAGCAAGGTTTTAAATCAGTATTCCTGATGAGTGGGATCAGTTTACATTTTATTAAGCAGAAAGCTAAAAACATAAACAAAGGGGCTTAATAGCCTAAAATATCAGCAGGGTGTCTTGTAGGAGATAAATGTGCTTGTCCTGATGTAGTTGCCTGCCAAATGAATTAAGTCCATGTTCATAGTCCACATTTTCATGCGCTCCATTCTTAATTTGTTGCAAATGTATTTGTCCCAAGGGTGACGTTTTGCTGGTTTAGTCCTAAGGAGAAGAAAAACACAAATGGCAAACTTCAGATAGGAAGATTGCACTAGTTAATGACATACAGCTCAAGGGGAAACTGGCCAACTGATCAAGTAATTGTATTCATATCATTGTGAGATGTGCGTGGTTTTCTGTAACATAAACTCATGCCCTCCTTTCTTTCTTTTCAGGACTTGATTTTTATGGATACATTAAACTAATAAACTTTGTTAGATTAAAGGTAGGTGTGCCACGTACTACTACTGTCACTTATGTCTGGAGAAAGGGAAATTAAGATGCCTATCTTTCAGTTTGTCCTTTTTTAATAACTGTATGGAATTTGGTATTTCTAGAAATAAGAAATCACAGGAATTAAACAAACTGAATTGGCTTATTTAGATATAAAGTTATTTTACAGTATATTTAATTAGTGTGAGTTTTGTTGTTTCCAGAAGAGGATCTTCAGACTTGCAAAACCCCAGGCTATAGAGTATCATGTTGTTTTGTTAATTTATCTCAGCCTTTGACTCTGCTATCTTGCCCCAGTAATGGATTCACTTCTTAGTAACTGAAATTTCTCAGTGCTTGTGTGTGTATAGGTATAAAAGAGTACCTTCTGGGGACATGAGCTGTCCAGAACCCTACTGCTCTGTTAGTAAGGAAAACACCTTAAATCACAGAACCTAAAACTGATCTCTGCTAAAATGATACCAGAAGCAGGAAAGCCAATGAGAACCTACAGTTTCAAGTTAGGCCTCTGTGTATTTTGTGTAGTCTCTCACTTTGAAGTATGTTCCTTGGTTGTTCCCTGAAAGTTTAGGCTTGGACTTAATAATCATCTTACCTAATTAAGCATCTTGAATCTTCAAACCTTAAATCCTCAAATAGTTATTTAAGACATCACTAGCTATGGAGATTAAACACAAAAATGGAAAAACTGAAGTCCAGAATGTCACCTCTCCTTTCCTGGCAAAATATTAACTGGCCGGATGCAAACAAGAGAGAATGCACAATTTCTGATGCTTGGCTCTACAGCGCTGTTTGCGTGAAAACGCTTGGCATGATGAGTATCTTGGCTTTATTGGTTAGCCCTACTGTAAGGTGGCTACTGTAAGTCAGATGCAGGCAAGCTCCTGAGTGAACTTGGTTCCTGATACCAGTTTAATCCTTCAGGTATCCTTCAGTGTCTGTCAATCTGTTGTGCCTTACTGTTCATACTGAACTCCTTGACCCTGTAGTTTCCTGGGCTTTGGGACTAGCTCATAGGTGTAGTTTTACACTATTCTCTGGTTGCTGTGATTGTAGTGGCAGTTGTCAGGGTCCAACTGGAGAAAAATCCGGTGTCAGAAATACTTCGTTTGTGATTCCCAGAGTGGAATGAAGACACAAGTGAGGTTAAGTACTGTAATCGATCTGTTTGTTTGTTATAAAATAGTATAAAAAAGATAGCAATAGGACAGATCAGAAGAAAAGGATAGAAATTAAGCAAGAATTCGAAGTGCAGAAAGATAGTTGCCACCATGGGTCCAGCAGCATCCCAAGGGTCTGTAGTTATTGTCTTTGGTGGTGGGTGTCTTCCCGGGTCCGTAGTTGTCATCAGAGGTGAGTGGCCACAACAGCAATTACCTTTTCCCCCTTTTATTTTGTGTTGGGGGGGAGTATCTCTATTCTTAATGTGAGGTACTACACATTCCTGGTGGATTATGTGCATCCAGTTTTGCTGGTCTTGCAGCCAGCTCTTCAACTGCACATGTCTGTCAGCAATCCTTGAGATAATGGACAGCAATTCCTCACACCAGTCCTTAAGATAATGGGCTGTGGAGTCTTATCTTGGCTCTTCCCACCCATCTCCCCGACAATGGAGAGTGGAGTCCCGTCTCAGCTTCTCATACCAGTCTTTGAGACAGCAGGCAGTGGAGTCTGATTTTAGTTCAGTCTCTCACAGCAGTGTGCTGAGTACTGGCTGTCAGAGGCAGGATGAAAGCAAGAACTCTACTTATTTACTGTTCCCACTAGCCATGCTTTAAAGTAGTATCTTTCTCAGCCTTTGCTACAAAGCTGCTTAATAATGCCTTGCTTATTTTAATGTGTGGAAGAACAGATCTTTGCCTTATTTTATTGAATGAAATTTAAGGTGTTTTCAAAGAAACAGCTTACATTCTCTTCTATTTTTGTCTAGAAACCAACAGGACCATATTTGAGTTCTCTCAGCAGCCCACTGCCCTGGGAAGGAGAGGAATATTTGAAACCAGAGCTAGATGATGATCTCCTCCTTCAGTTTGGTAAATAAGTATGTTTCAGTATGACTGTACTGCTTTGTAGGGTAAATGTGGTGTTGGCAGAGTTCATGTCATATAAGCATCATCACTGTTACTGACTTACAACCATGAGAAAGTCCACATACTAGCTGAAGTCATGACATTAAGTCACACTCTAAAAATTTTACCACATGTCATATGTTGGCTTTTAGTGATTGAGATTTCCATAGCCATCTCTTGTTACCTGTATTCACTTATTGTAGATAAGGTGTTCATAGTGGAGATGCTGTATGTAATAATTAAGCAGGTCAGAGAGGCACTCCATCCAAACCTAATTGGAAGATCATTATAGAATCATAGAATGGTTTGGGTTGGAAGGGACCTTAAAGCTCATCCAGTTCCAACCCCCTGCCACATGCAGCGACACCTTCCACTAGACCAGGTTGCTCCAAGCCCCGTGCAACCTGGCATTGAGCACTGCCAGGGATGGGGCAGCCACAGCTTCTCGGGGCAGCCTGTGCCAGTATCTCACCAAGCTTCTAAAACTTCTAAATGTAGGTTTTTAAAGTAATATATTAAAAAATGTATGCTCTAAGTAAGGAGTGATTCCTTTTGAAAATATCTTAATCTCTTACACAGGTCCAACCCAGTGTAAGATACGTAGTTGCATAGAAGAGTTCTGCTTCTTTAGTGGTTCTAGCAAAGTAGAAGAAGCCTTAGTTTCTCTCTCATGACCGTTCATCAGATGGTATTGAGAGAATTTAGTTTGACTTTTGAACTTATTTTAGCTGCCCACAGCTCTCTCACCTTCTTCCTATCTCCTGCCTGATTGTACATCTTTCTTTTACCTAAACTATAAGGTACTTAAGGCTATTTTATTCTCTGTACAATCTGGAATGAGTTTTACACTCTTCTAAGCAAGCCTTGCTGCATGATCACTGAGATAATGTGTGTTAGAGGACACTGGTTGGTTATTTAGTGATTTCATGTTCTACTATATCAGCTCCTGCTCAAGCTTGAATACTTTGGAGTTGCTGTTGCAGTTGCTAAACGGTTATGGGGAGTTACGAACCTCAGAAATCTCAGTATCTGTGCTTTTTTTCAGTCCCACGGGCCAAATATTCTTTCATTACTGAAAGGAATGAATATATGGTTTTGTTGGTTGTTTTTTTTTTTTTTTAAGAAGTCTTTTGCCCAGTAAGCTGTCAGTAACTTCGTACTACATCCAAAACCACACTAGCACCACTTTTTATGCAGTGACATTTGTTAAAATCACCAGCCAAATTTAGCAGGAGATGAATGGGACCTAATGCTGAGCCTGGGTTTTGGTAGCTAAAAAGCAGTGTTTCATCTAGATTCACTCTGCTTATGCTCTTTTGAGTTCTTTGTGTTCATAAACTTTATAAAACACCAAGGAATTTGCTTAAAATTTAATAATAAATTATTAAGAAATTTTAAATGGATATACTTTCCTACCTCTTGCTGTTACCCTTAATAGTCATTTTCTTCTCAGAATAATGTAACTGAAAAATGGTAGGACTGTAATTAACTAAATTACAGTCTAAACCTAATAATATCTCTTTTATCAATAATCAAACACTGGTATTTAAAGAAGCTTAAATTCTGGATTTTATTCTGAATTCTTTGTGAATTTAGAAGTTGCTTCTAGCATACTTACTCTTACTGTGGTGTGTGGTTCATGCTATCAAATCAGTGATGCCTTTTGTAAATCAGACTAATTTTACAAGTCATCCAAATATAGAAATAGCAACACTGAAAACATCATATGTTTATGAGCTGCTGTGAAGCAATACATGACTGGTAGATGATTTTTTTTTCTCCTCATTTCATCAGATATAGAAGATCTTTGTGAACCTGAAAACGCGTTGCCTTGTAATGGCTTAAATGATAACACAATGATCCTTGAACAATTAAAACATGCAGAACACAGAGCAAGACTTGCAGAAGCAGCCTTGGCTGGAGCACAAGAGGATCTTCAAAAAATGAGGTAAGTGTTAGAACTGAGGTTTTTGTGTTTTAATTTGATGTGTTCTATGTGAGATGCTTATGCTTAAAGACCAATAGAAATTCAAAGCAATGATAGAATGTAACTGTGGAATAGAACTCATGACTTCTCTTGGGGCCGTATTTTTGTCTTATCTTGTGGATTATTAGTAAACATCTTGTAGGCGATTAGTTAAAACTGCACAAAACCTTCACAGATTGAAAGAGCAAAGTATTCTTAGGAAAGCTGAATAACCACATGGCCCAGAAACATGTATTTTGCTTCAGACCACTCTGTTTTTCACTTTTCCATTAGTCTTTTAGATGCAAATTTAAACATTGAAGATGTATACCACAGAGAAGAGGGAGGTATTGACAAATTAAATATGTGACTCTCAACATTTTCAGAAATGGCTTCAAACAATGATTGTTAGTCATAGAATCCAGTTACAATTTGGAGAAAACCTCAGTGAAATTAATAAACCAAGTTTTCAGCTACTTGTATTTTCAGTGTCAGGTGTGGATTCTGTTAGTAATTTGGTGCACTGCAGTCAGGAATTGGGAGATCCCCATAGCTGTACATGCTACTTCTAAATCTTGAGGTCTTCAGAATATGGATTGATGATGCTTATGGGAGTATAAACTTCTTTTTGGCTCATATAGGATTAAGTCGTGTACAAACTTGTCATTTCAAGATCACACTGATTGGGCACTGTAGAACTGAAATTGTGTTTAAGAGACTTGGAATAATAATTCAAGTTCTTTTGTGGAGAAGTGGCAAACCCCTTCTTTTGTAAAGGACATTTGAATGTTCCTTGTATGTTTTGAGAATAAATGCTTGATGTTACTAGAAACCAGATTTACCAAAATAAATTCATGTATTCAGATCCTATCATCTGTGAACAATTATGCTTGTAAAAAATGAACAGTTTTGTCTTCAGCTGGGTTTAACTTTTGCAAATAATACTTTGTAGCTGACAGCAGTTTTTTGATATCTGAGTACATTATGCATTAATTAATCATAAACCATAAGAATGAAAGAAATTTGTTGCTGTACTTGGAAAACTGAGTTTTCTTCTGTGTGTTGTCTTGTACTCTTGTTCCCTCTTTCATTTAAAAGAAAGAAAAACTTTTTCAAGTAAGCAGTTGCAATTTCTCTTTGACTCTAAACTTCAATCAAGCTTACATAGATTTCTTTTTGAGGTTAGTATATAGAATTATCTGCTGTTGAAAAAGGCAGCCTTTAATTTTTCTTATTCAATACAGGCTCTTCAATTCAGCAGGGATTGGCTGGCAGTAGAAATAGCCAGATGTAGATGTGATGAAGCAGCACAGGTTTTAATTTTAGATAGGTGAACCTGTTGGATTGTAGTAGTCTATGTGCTGTGGTTCGTAGTGATACTGATTCATGCTGGAGGTTACTCCACTGAAAGAGACCATCAAAGAATGTTTCCTTTCAGGTAAACCTCTGCAAAATATCTTGGGAGTCTGATGTAGAGCAAGAATAGTTTACAGAACCTTAATGTACAGTAACACGTATTTATATTATTTTCTGTCACTGTCCTGGGTTCAGCTCTAACAGTTATTTTTCTCCTTCTTACTAGCTGGTGCAGTGCTGTGTTTTTGACTTTAGTCTGAGAACAATGCTGTGGCTTAAACCACAACAGCCATGGAAATAGGTTTATACTGGTATGAAGCAGGCTGGTTGTCTGACTTCAACTTCTAGAGATTAAAAAAAAAAAAAATTGGATCCAGGAGCTTTGAATAGACTTCTAGAATGCTGAGAATTAAAAAGGGTACAAAGCAGAGACATGCAGCTGGAGGCCTAGTGACCTCTTGTTTCTGCCCCCTCTCCCCCTCCAAATGGTAACAGTGCTATAAATCATGTCACCTTTAGCATTTGATGTAACTTAGAGATTTAAGAGCATGGTTTAGATATCCTTTTTTTGTTTGGTTTTTTGTTATTTTTTAATAAAACTCCGTTTCTAGAGTTTGGTACTTGTGTGGTGTGCATAGGCTGGAGAAAGTATTGGCTGAATCTATTTTAAATAATTTGAAATTTAAAATTGGGTTTAAATCTTACAAAAGGATAATAATACTTAATTGTATGTCATAGAATCTGTTCTTTTGTAAGTTTACATTTTTATCATTGTGATATTTATCTGTAAGTAATGAAAAAGCAAACTGTATTGGTAAAGAGCAATATTAAAAATAAGATCCAGACCTTACCTGTATGTCAGCAAAACCAGGAGGTTTCTGATATTGATGAACTTTTAGTGTGAATTTCCTTACCACCATCTTTTTCCTATCCTAACTAGTTAAGCAGAAAAGTATTTGACATGTCCGGACTGAAATAGTGGTTTTGTTTGGTCTTCTTGTTGTTTTGTAAGGATGGTGCCATAATGAGATGCTACTTGCATCTTCCATACATTAAGTTCCTATTTAAGCAAATATGACCAGTGTTAAAGCTGAGCTTTGGCTGCTTTGGAGTCATCTGGTATGCAAGTTCAGTTGATATTGGACTGTATACCTTGCAGGAATACTGTCTGGCTGGAATACGTTTACTTTTTCTCATGTCATTGTGGGTATAACATGAGCTGTTTGCGTATTGTGAGAACAAAAAAGCTGGCATACCTCTTGATTTGTGTATTTTGTCAACAAAACAGCTTTGAGAAATTGGAAGAGAACGTGTGTTAGGAATGCAAGGCTGTGAAGGAGCAAAAATAAGCTGCATGACATTGAAGCAGTACATGGGATTTTAAGCTGTGGTTTGTTTCCACCCAAATGCTTCAGTTTTAAAGCACTTTGTTCTACCTTCTGCTAGTTGTATGGTGTTGTATGGTTTGTAATTCTTGTGCTCTTTGTATTGAGTCCCTATCTTCATAGACAGCCTAAACCGTATGTCATTTTGACCACTGTGGTACAAGATAATTCCTCCTTAAAACCAGAAATGAAGCGTGACTGTTTCACTGCTGGTTTTTGCTGGTTGGAAGCAGAAAGCATCACTGCAGGAGGGTGATGGACAGAGATCCACGTGCAGCAGCCCAGAGGAGTCGGCAGAGGGAGGTTGTGCCCGCTCAGAGAGGGGCCCATTGTTGTTACAGGCCCTCCGCAGCCTGGTCCTTTGCCTCATTGAAGCCCTTTTTTCCCCCTCTCACCCTTGCCTCCTTTCCATGATCCCATAAATGATGTCTCAAGGGTCTATTTCAAACTGATTGCAGGCGATTTGCGCAGGATTTTGTGATGAACGCAGATGTTGGGAGCAGCTTGTCATCCGTTGCCATTGCAGACCTTCAGGAGGATGAGGATGGCGTTTACTTCAGCTCGTATGGGCATTATGGGATACACGAAGAGATGCTAAAGGTTAGAAAGTCATCTCAACTGCTTCTTAGTAAGACTAAAGAGGAAAGATGGGACGAAGTGGGCTGTGTGCCCATAAATATACTGCAGAGCAGCTGCATTTTTAACCCTTGCTATTCATGATAGGATTTTTCCTAGTAGTTCGGGTTGTGGGAATTTTTCACTTCTATTTCCTTATGTAAATTCTGTTTACATGAAACATAAGGAACGTAAAATCATTTACAGATATGCTTGAAGATAGAATATGTATAGCACAGCCTTACCTTACCAAAAGCAGCTTTTTCTGGAATGCTTAAAATATAAAGGATAAAACATGGTACAGTCAGTGAATATTTTTCTGTAGTTTATATTCTCCTAACAGTTGAAATTTGTGAGGAAAAAACATTTCCCAAATATTGGGGTTTCCTATTGCAGTACATAAACAGAAATTGTTGATATTTGTACACATTTCAGTAAATTGATACATGACATTGAACACCTGAAAAAACTGTATGCTCCTTTTATGTGATAAATACAGACAATTAATACTTAAAACTCTTCAAAGGCAAGCCTGTGTATTCCCTTTTAACTTAAAAACCCAACAAAACAACCAAACACAAAGCCCAACAACTTATGCTTGATGTGTAAATCAAAATCTCTTAATGCTTCCTTTCAGAAAAAGTATCATATTTGTGCAAATCATGAACAGTTTTATCATTTTAATGCAGAAATAATTAAATTCCTGCCTAATGTAGAGATAAGGGAGTTGTGAAGTGACTTTGTCCATGCAAATAGCATATAAAGTTTTCTGCTTTGTAAATAATTTAGTGGCAATACACATGAATCTTTTGAGAACAGCATGAGGTTAATTTGGGGGGAGGAAGTGGGGGAGGGAGGGTGTTTCACTGAAGTGCACACATTTCTGCCAAAGTTGATATATTCCCAAATGTATAGTCTAGAGAAATACAATTTGTCTTAAAGATAAATAAGAATTACAGAAGCTTGGTTTTGCAGTGGTATAAAGGTGTCATTTAAGATAGTTATAGGCTATAGGATGAGGCAGCCTTTCCATTTGCTAATAAATTTTATAATTCTGCATGTCTGCACAAGGAGATTGGGACAAAATTGTATTTTAGTGGTTTTCAGGAATGTTTTTCTGAATGCTTTTAAGACTTTTGACTGTCCTAAACATATGGAAATAGTTGCTTTTTATCATCGATGCGTTGCATTTTTTCCTATGTGCTAGATACGGAATTTGATTTATTTATTTGTCGACATTATATGAATACAGAGGATTGCTATATTGAAATTATTATGGAATCTTGCTGTAAGAATTTTAAGCCTGTTTCTGACACTGTTCAGTTCTTCACTTTTTTTTTTTTTTTTTTTTCCCTTAGCCCTGGTAGTGATAGGGTGAAATTTCAATTTGAGTGTTTTTTTTTCTGGAAGTACTTCAGAGAAAGGGGAAGAGTAGTGTTACTTTACACTGGCCAAATGGCTAGTGTTTCCCTTGCTGTATTCTTTTGTTCAGTACTTTCTTGATTATCATCTTAATGATTTTCCTTAATGTGTTTTTAAAAACAAACCAAAAAAAAAGCATTGCACTGAGTGAGAGAATGATGATGGTGAATAGAGACACCTGAATGACAGTGGCTTACTGGAGCAGCAGCACATAAGAGTAGAAACAGCAGCTAATATTGTATTGAGTAATTTGGGGCAGTGCTGAGGCAGTGTGAGTGGGCAGGGTGTAAGGCTGAAAGCTTTCCAGCTGACTGTATTCTGGATTGGTGCTGAATGTTCTGATTTTATTTTTCCTAGACTTTTTTTGATTGCTTCAGTAAATCCTGTTACATACTGCAGTAGAGGTGAACTGCTAAAAATACTTGCTCCAAATACATCCTCATAGGAAACCAGTTTCAAGGATCACACTTTTTTATTGATGTTAATTAGGTATAATTTTCAAGTACTGTTTTCTAAAATAATCCCTAAGTGTTTCTTTGGCCTATGTATGTATATAAGATACTCCTCCCAAACATAAGATGGGATTTTAGGCTTTTCAAGCCTTAGAATAATTTGGCTAGTCTCCTGATTTTTTATGAACACTTCCTTTGTTCTTAGTCTCTGTTTTGGATCTTGTTTTTCTAATGAAATAGACTTTGTTCTTTCTTACTAGAGGAAATTCCTTTCGTTTCTGTATTGATTGTAAAAATTCTTACCTGCTATAGTAGAAAAAAATATTAAGTATAAGCAGATGGATTTTACACTTCAGTATTATTTATGGATATGTCTCTACTAGGCGAAAATAGCTTAAAATTTTTCTTAGCTAGAACAGTTGAACTGCAACAACAATTTCAAACCCTATAGTTGGCTGTCAATTTGTGTACCTGCTGATGCATATTAAATCAATGTTTTAATAGATTACCTTGCATTGAGCTATGCTGCTAGCTTTCGTATACCAAGGTACTGTAAATGTTTAGTTCTGTGCTTGAAAACATTCCAGTTTCTTGGGTTGTATTACAGTTAAATTTATTTATTTATTGTACTGGGCTTTCATAGAATGTACAGTTTCAATTACTAGCTGGCATAAGGTTTGCTAATTTACAGTTTGTTCAGAAATAAAAAAAGGTTAATCTGATCCCTAACTTTTTCCTTTTTTTAAAGAATCTGTGTGTTGTAGGATTGTCAGAAAATAAAATGAAACAAATCATTGTATGAGCTCACGACTCCAGTTTTTACCATTGTATAGAAGGTGGTTATGTAAAGTTGATGCAGTATTGCCACTCTATTAGTGCTCTTCCTGGAAAAGTGGTGGAGAGGTATTAATAACTTTGAAACAAAATCAAACACAGCAGGCTGGGAAACTGTAAACCAATTTCTTACTTTTCCCCCAGCAGCTCAGCTGGCTTATTTGCAAGGAAAATAAACTCTGGAAAAATATTGTATGGGAAGTGTGATTGCAGAGCCCTTGTAAGTACAGTAGCCACAAAACAGCTTCAGGCCAAGTTGGAAAGCAAGATTTTCAGCATTTTTGAACAACATGCTGTGCCTCGGTAGAAAAAGTGAACCCTCTTTATCCTTTAAATTATAGGATAAAGTGCGTACAGAAAGCTATCGTGACTTTATCTACCAGAACCCACATATCTTCAAGGACAAGGTAGGTGAAATAGCTCTGCAAATACAATAATTTCTGCTCTTTATTATTTTTTAAGTGGTAGAAATCCCTCGGTTTGGCTACTTCTTAGCTTTGGGAATGGAATACTGCACTGACAAGATTTGATTTTATGTCCTCTGGCTTTATGAGGTGGCAGAGTTCTATTCAGCTGCTGGAGGGTGCAAAGTGCTGATAACAGAAGTGCTGATCACTGTTGTCAGTGCTCTGTGTGCCATGTCGAGGTGTTCATTAATTATGTTGGTGGAGTTAAGCTGAGCCTTTCCTGTCCAGTATATTAAATGGGATCTACCTTAGAGGGCCTCTTTACTAGTAGTAAAGCACAAATTTGTGCCTGATATAGTACAAACATTTTAGAAGCACTGTGTAATTAGAACTCTGATGAGTTTGTTGTGATTTGAGTTACAGTGAGCAACCTTCTCTTCTGGATTAGTTTTCCTCTACTTGGTGCTCAGCATTCTTAAGCTGCATATGGATATTTCTTAATGTGAAACTAGGATGTCTAGGTTTTATGGAAGACAGTCATTTTTGATTTTTATTTTGGGGTTGATTGAGACTTTATTAGTAAGTCATAAGGCTTCACAGTAGTTGTGGAAGTAATAAAAGCGCACCCATCTGATAATTCCTCAGGACTTATCTGGGAATAGTGCTAGATACGGTTTTGTCCTAGAAGGGAGGTATTCCAAGGTAGATAGTGCATACTCTTTGTATGGAATAGGTAGATAGTGCATGCTCTTTGTCTTACCTCAGTTTTCTGTTGGCAATTCCAGCAGAAAAATTATGAGGAAAATAGTTTTCTTCCTTTTTTGCTTCAATCCATGTCACAAGCCTGTTTCTACTAAACATTTCTCTTTAGTTGTAATGACAGAACAAGCAAAAGTGTTGGAAGAACGCTATGCTGTCAGCTGCTTAAAAGATGCAGGTGACAGCCCAGGCTGGCAGCACATCCACCACAGCAGAAAGATCAATAAGAGAAAGAAAATTTTTGTGGGAGAAATTCAGTTTCAGATGCCCCTAAAATTGGTAAATGCACGCTTTTACAGTGTGAGGCTGATCTCAAGTTACATGGAACGTGTGGAAACACATGGAAACTGATTTCTGAACTTGGCATTTTTACAGCTGTTTTGATCAACATCACCTCAAATTCATAATGTATTAGTGTGTTGAGGCTGAATAAAAAAAAAAATTCTCAATTGCTTAGAGTTCCCAACAGCTTCCATCTAGGTGACCAGTGACCCACTTAATTTCTTAAGATCATCTAGTTCCAGGATGGAACATTTACCACTTCTCTGGGCAACCTGTGCCAGTGCTTCACCACCCTCACAAGGAATCTGTTATCTATCTTATATCTAACCTGAACTTCACCTGTTCAATTTTAAACCCTTCACCACTTGTCCTATTGCTACAGTCCCTGATGAAGAATCCCTCTCCAGCTCCTTCAGGTACTGGAAGGCTGTTATGTGGTCTCTACACAGCTTCTCTTCTGCAGGCTGAACAGCTCCAACTTTCTCAGGACCTGTCTAAGAGGTCGCCAGCCCCTTATAATCCTCATGGCCTCCTCTGGAGTTGCTCCAACTTGATATGCTGTAATGGAGAATATATGGGATTTTTTTTCAGCGATCTAGCTTTGAAGTGACAGTTGTTATAGAATTCTGAAGGAACTGTTAAGATGGGTTGCTTAATTTATGTATTGTACAATGCTCTCAGAACTGTATTAATGAGTGAAGCTTCCAACTTGAGGAAATTGGCTCTCTTCCCTTAACATTTGATGTCAATTAAAAAAAAAAGTGAGGAAAAGTCTGATACTGTATTTCCTAGAAGTTCCATATGGTATTCCTCCCTAGAAAACAATGTTTTTTGTCTTTCTAAAAGGACGCTTGTGTGGTGGGTTGGGAAGAGCTTGTTCAAAGAGGTCCATTGGTCATATTAGCTTTGGAAACAAATCTGCAGTATCCCAAAGAGGTGTAATTGCATGGTGATAGATGATAACAGAATATCTAGGGCTGCTTATTATACATACTTTATTCAGAACCCGCCAATTTGTTCTCTCGGTTTTCAAAAGTGATTGCCAAACCTTGAATATATCTTGCTTGCTGTCTTTATTTTCTTCCTGTCAAATGTACTTGAGATAAGGACAGTTCAGGTTACCTACCTAGCAGGAGTGGTTGCGATGGCCTTACTCAATGAAAGGAAATGTGATCCATTTTAAAGCAAGACTGTTTTTTAGTGCAAAAAGAATTGGTTAGAAAAGCACTACTGCTGTGCTTATTTTTTGTTATAGAAGTCTAGGCAGGCATCAACGTCCTATTGGTGGGGAAAGAGCCAGTTTTTATACATTGTTCCTACTAAAAGTTCATAGCTGGAATTAATTTAATTGGTGGAAATACCCAACCTCCTTTTTTTGTGAATTTGAAATATTTTTTTTCTGTTACTAAAAGTAGAATATAACCTTTTTTAGACTATAGGGAAGGGTGTAGTGCTGTACTGAGCTACATTATAGTCAAATGGCCAGCCCAGGCTGCTCCAGATCTCTGGTGGGAGGCCATATGTGATCACTGCAAGAATCCATTAGCCATAGACCCTTGTTCTTAGGCTAACTGATGATCATTCTGCTTGTCTTTCCATTCCTCAGATGTGTTCCAGGTTGTGTATTTTCTCTCCTGTGCCTTTTTCTCCACTCCTATCCCCTGCCTAAGGCCAGATGAGTTCTATGATTTTAAGTGACCAGGGCAGCTGTCCAGAACGGTGTCTGTTTTGTTTTTTTTTCCAATTTGTGGTGATTGCTCTCTTCATGCAACTGTACATCAAGATCATTCTTTAACCTAGGTTTATATTTGGCTCTGATTTCTAGCTTTCGAGGCTCACCAATTTTTTTAACTGCCACGGGTAAAGTGTTAGAATAGATGATGCTAAAGGGTGTGAGATTTCAGCAGCTGCTGAAACATGAATTTTTACCTTCTATTCCTGGCTACAGGAGACTTCAGCTTATGGATTTCTGTAGCCATTACATATGCATATGTAACTTGTGAATGAGTTGTAAAATTGACTCCTATTGGAATGTAGCTGCAAAGTGGAACAAATAAGTCTGTCCACAACTTTCATGACCAGCCCCTACACACGGTGCTATAAAAAAAATCATATTTTTTTTTAGTCTGATTCCAAATTGTAAGTTGCTCTATCAAGGCAGGTCAACTCTTCGGTCATTGCTTCCCAGGACACCACTGCAGAAGCTTACTTATACTGTGCTGCCAAGGATAAACAGCTATTTTTATTCATGTTGGCTTCAGAATCATTGTTCTGTATCCAGCATCAGAACATAGAGACACAAGGGAAGGTAAGCAGACCTTGTGTGTAGAGCCTTCAAGTACTTATTTAGATATTATTTGTCAGGTGGAATTTAAAAGTGTACATGCATGTTTTTGTTGTGCCAAAGCAATCAAACACTCAATAGCTCATAAGCTAGAAAGTTTGTCAGAAGGGTGTATTACTGCATTGATATATTTTGTAAAATGGGGTTATAATTCTCAAGAGTGGGAATGATTTGATGAGTTCTTCGGAAAAAAAAATTAATGTAATAAGCTGTGAGGGCACCTTTTACTGGATGCTGTGCTAAGGAGAGGCAGTGAAATAAATTTTTGTTTCCAATGAACTATTTTTATGACTAGTAATTCTGACTCAATGTTTTCATCTTGGAAGTCTTCTAGTAAGTTTTGCTTACTCTCTTGTTTAGGTATCTTGTATAGGAAAAGTCTGTCTTCACAGTTCTGATTCTGTTAATGCTTAAATGCTATGCGTAATATGAGTGACTACATTGTATTCAGGAAACTGATTTTCATATTTCAGAACATTTTGGGGTTTAGTGCTTAGAATTTTTTAACACATTAGTAATGTGTAACTATATTAAGTAGAAGTCCAGCTGTAAGAATGCTGATGATTGTTAGTGATTCACTGATTAAAATTGTTCAGGTTATAATTTCCTTTTTTTTCCTGTCATGTAACCTTTCAGTTACTACCCAAATAATTGCTTGTGATAGTTTCCCATGTGACTGAATGAATCTGCAGCTGGAACTAGTCTGCTTCATTGTCTATCTGTAAAAGGCAGGGGAGGGTGTGGAGTGAGAACTGCAGTTTCATTTGGGTATCTCTGAATCATAGAATCATGGAATGGTTTGGGTTGGAAGGGACCTTTGAAGATCATTTAGTTTGAATGTAGTAAGACTTGATGCTACCTTGTGTTCCTTCTGTTAGAGTATGGTATCTCACTGATGTAGGAAGACATGAAATAAGATGTTTATTTTTACCTCTGTTTATTTATTTCAGGTAGTCTTGGATGTTGGCTGTGGAACTGGAATACTCTCCATGTTTGCTGCCAAAGCAGGTGCAAAGAAAGTGATTGGAGTTGACCAGTCTGAAATCATCTATCAGGCCATGGACATCATTAGGTAGGAAAAGTTCCAAGAAAAGGATGGTAAATAATGCTGTAGAAAGTTATTAAAACCAACCAAGCAAAAAAAACCAACCCAACCAAATGCAAACCCATTTTAAGAGCATGCACAGATACACATGCATGTAGCCTGCAGAGTCACTCAGAAAAGTTTGTTTCCATCAAAGATGTTGGGTGCCACGTAAACTGTCTTGGAGTAGTATAGGGTGGAAGGAGCCCTGGGGGAGTGTGGGGAGTGTGTCTGGTCTATCCTGTGTCAGAGTGAGTCATAGGTGGCCTAGATTCAGCTTCAGAAGATAGCTGCCTCTTCTGTCTAAACTTCTGTGGGAAGTGTCTCATTTGACTAGCCTCACTCTTTGTTTTAAACTAATCATAACTTCTGTTTTTTTCCGTCTGTCTGTTACCTCTTGGTTGGCTCTGTCTTTTCTTCACCGTTCTTCTAAACAGAGGCAGACATCAGAATGCCATCCCTTAACCATCCCTTCTTCAGGCTGAACAAAGCTAGTTCTCTCAGCTTCTCCCTGTGTGTCATGTGTTCCAGCATCCCATCATCTTGATGTCCTTCACTGGACTTGCTTTAATATGTCAATTTTTTTCTTGTACTTGGAAGCCCACAGCTGGCCACTGTGCTTCCAGGTGCAGTTTTGCAAGTATCAAAATGAGGCGAGGTGAAAGCTCACTTTCCCTGACATGCTGCTGCCCTCTTGCATATCTGACAGTAGACTCCTTTTGCTACAAGGGTCCACTGCTGACTTCTGTTCAATTTATTTACCAGGCCCCTTATCAGAGCAGGAACAATTAGCAGAGCTGATTTCTGATCAGCAGGAACCCATCTGTACTGTTTCACAGGGTTATTCCCACTCAGGTGCAGGTCTGCACCTTTACCTTTGGATCTCTGAGGTTCCTGTCATTCACTTATCTACTGAGGCTGAGGTCCCCCTAAATAGCAGCCCTGCCCTCTAGCATATCAAGTGCTGTCTGCTAATTCAGCATTATCCACAGACTTGCTGAGGGTGCATTCTGTCCTGTTAGGTCACTGGTAAGAGTGTTGGTATCAGAAACAGCACTGAACCCTGAGGGACACCTCTGGTACTTGGCTACCAGTTAAATTTTGGACTCCTTTGCTCACTTCTTGTAATCCTTATGGTCTAGGCAGCTTTCTTCCCATCTGATGGTTTGTGTATGCACTCTGCATTTCACTAATGCACCTATAGAGGATGTTAAGGGTGACTGTGAGTATATGTAAAAACGAAGCAGTGGCACCTGAAAACTTAGAAAGTATTTCCTAGCATGAGTTAGCAGAAAGGTAAGTGTAAATGGGTACTGTTGATAGCTGAGAAATGTACTGCTTTTTGTTGTGGTTGTTTTTTGTAAGAGCAGCTGTAGAAAAGAAAGTCCAAGTAAATACTGAAGAATTTGGGAGTGACAATTTTTATCTAAGGTGAGGCTGCACAGAAGTAACGTTGTCTTGGTAGAATTTTTGGGTTAGATACCACTTCACAGTCGAGATGCAACACCACATGCTTGGATACTGTAATACTGCTAAATAAATGCCTGTTTAAGAAAAGTACCATGTTAAGCATTAGGTGCAACTTAGACTCAAATGCTTTTGGCACAAGAACTTGTTCTCTAATGAGGACTTTTCTCAGGAATCTGTGACATCTCTAGAACAGTCACAAATGTGAAAGTGTTTTATTTCTAATGTACTAGACGACAATCTTAGGATTGTTCATTCCTTCAAACAAGTGCACAGAAAGTCCTGTATGTGTTGTTACTTAGAGGAGGATAGAAGTATCAGCCAGCTTGGTGTATCAGCCAATCTCTCCACTTGGTGAGGAGACAGGCAGGCCACAAATCAAAACTCTTAAACCATTAAGAGTGATGAATTGCCACTTGAAGTACACAGTGAACCATCAGTGTAAGGTACACCTTGATAGATGCCTTCTGCTTTAAAAGATTCAATTCACATTAAAGTCTTCTGTTCATATCAAAATTATTTATATTTGTTTTGTTAAATCTCCTTTTCCTAAAGGAATAGAGCTGACAAACCTGTAACAGAGTAATAAATATTTATTGGAATGCTAAACAGCTGTGTAGCTTAAAACTCTGTATTGAAGTGTGCTTCTGCAGTGATTCCAGCATGTGCCCAAAAGAGCTTTTGTGCCTTCCAGAATTCAGAATCATTCCTAGCATGTTCATGACTAGAAACTTAGCAACCCATGTGTGTAAGTGAACTGGAGTAAGTGCCTGAGTGACATGATTATTTCCCAAAGTTACACAATAAACTTATCTGTAACTAAATACTTGCCTTTTTCTTACTGTGAATGGCTGCTCATAAAATTTCCAGCACACTGAATGAGTTTATTGTTGTCATTCATCACTGTTATAGTAGAATAGAAAGTTGAATTATACTTCCTAAATATAGCATCTGATCAGTTTTTCCTGCAGTGTGTAAACTACATAGGTTTGTTCGGGGATTTTTAATACCTTGCAATTGAAAACAAGTATGTAATGAATTTGTTTCCTCTTTTGTTTTAAATTGTATCCTTGTGTGTGGTCATCTAGGAAGTTATCCTGGAATCTCTTTTTGTCCTTCTTGAAATATGGTTGTGGGGGATAGCTCTTCAGCATTTTATTTCTCACTTAGAACTTCAGGGTTTACTTCTGTTTACTGCATTAAATATGATATTAGTGATAAAGTGCTACTCTTCTATCAGAAAACTGTCTCATGTAGAGTGGTTAATTGATCTTTCCAACAGCCCACATGTTCAAGTAGCCCTTTGACCCTTTCCTTTGCCTCCCTTCATTTTTGGTTGTTTTCCCATTTTCTTCTAGATTGAATTTTTAATGTGATTACCAGTCTGCACATTGAACATTCTGTTGAAAGCCAGACAGAATGTGAGTAAGATATCAGGATAGGGAGGGAAGGGGCAGAGATAAGAACTGCCATAGAAAAATAAATTTATTGGGTGGAAATACATTTCTGCCATCACTAAGAACAGCTATTGTGATATTGTGTATGTGCAAGACACATATGTGCAAGACAGACTAATATGGTTTGCCAAGAAAAAAGTACTATATTTCAAGCATTTACATATTTGGTAATTTCACTGTCATGCAGTTTTTGTTTAAAAAGGTGTAGTCATATCACAGTACCTTCCTCTTTACACAGGACGGTGGTACCCTTACTTGCATATGAGGTTTTATACCTGATGACTGCAGTTACTAAACATTGCAGATGATTTTGGCCCCAATCACAGTGGGAAGGATGCCTTTATTGTGGAATAGCTGTAATACTGATCTAGAGGGAATGTTTGCTTGCAGTGACTTTGCAGCTAGTTTTAAATAAATAAAAAGAAAAAGCTGTGCAAAACAGCTTTGCAAGGAAGTTAACTTCCATTGCTATCCTAGTGTGATAAGTAGCCTCTAATTACTATAGGCTACAGGGGTCAAAGAAGGAGAACTGGGAACAAGGGACTCTGAACAGAAGTGTAATTTTAAGTTGTCTTTTTCTCTATTTTTCTGATTTCTGAAGCTTACACATTTCCACACACACCATGTTAGAGGTATGCAGGTCTACTGTCTGACACCTCTGCCTGGCACTAAATCTGCTGCTGTTTTTTGGCTACTCGAAATCATTCCCTCTGAAATATAACTGAGAAGAGTTAAAAAAGTTATTGGAGGGAGAAAGGCAAAATACAAACATCATTCTATCTCTCTTGACAGAATGACTTGGAAATGGAAACTAATTTGTTGATGTTGTGACTTGCAGATTAAATAAACTTGAAAATATCATTACGTTAGTCAAAGGAAGAGTCGAAGAAGTAGATCTGCCGTTGGAAAAAGTGGATGTGATAGTATCTGAATGGATGGTAAGATGCATGAATATTCCTTTCAGGACATAACTATTTTTAGGAAAACTTGTAATTTTTTTTTTTTTTTTCTTCATGTAAAAATGATTCTTGTAAGTGATGAGATTTTTTTAACCAAAAATATATCATGCTTGCAAGTGTCCTTGACAGCATGTGAGGAGGGATAATGGTACAAATTATGTGGTACTGGGGTACAACTCTTGATCTCTTTTGTTCATGCTCTTTCAAGTCAAGGTTCTGTAAGTACAGTTGAGCTCTTTTGGGTACAGCAGTAAGTTTCTGTTAAGTAGTAGTTAGTATGCCTGTCTACACAGTACTGTATGCCTCAGTAATACTATTGTAGCTGCTCAGGTGAAAGTAATGGAGAAATATTGTAGTAGTCATCTAGCTCGATCATTCTGATGAGTAAAATACCTTTAGTCTGCAAAGACAGCTAAAGACTGTCATGACTGTGTGGATAATGGGATAAGGAGGTGAGGAGCATACGCACTGGGAAATGTGCAAATACATCTAGTGCTTGAAAACAGCGTTACTATTCAGTGCAGTTTTTTAGTATAAAAATGGAGTAACTGATTTTAAGAGCACGTAATGAAGAGGTGGCCAACAGTCAATGCAGTGTGTAAATGGGCCATTTCCTGGAATCCATTGGATTTCAGCTGTTTGCCTGTTTGTTTTCTTTCATATTCTGAATAGCTGAGGGAACTGGGGGAAGTTAGTCTGGAGAAGAGAAGGCTCAGGGAGGACCTTATCGCTCTGTACAACCACGTGAAAGGATGATGGAGCCAGGAGGTGGCTGGGCTCTTCTTCCAAGTAACAAGTGATAGGACAAGAGGAAACTATCTCAAGGCTACACCGGGGAGGTTTAGACTGGATATTAGGAACGATTTCTTCACTGAGAGGGTGTTCAGGCATTGGAACTGGCTGCCCAGTGTAGTGGTGGAGTCACTGTCCCTGGAGGTGTTCACAAATTATGACATGGTTTAATGGTGGACTTGGCAGTGCTGGGGTAAAGGTTGGACTTGATGATCATAAAGGTCTTTTCCAACCTAGTTGATTCTATGATTCTGTGACTGTTAGACAGTTGTGCTTGTTACCTGCCATTGATTCTAAGGAAGAAATCTGTGTGGCAAGGCCCAGTGCCAGGCTGAACTTTGTAGTGACTGATCAAGCCTGTTCCCTATCAAAAATACAGTAGGATACACCCCTTGTGATGTTTTTTGAAGACTTCTGATATTCCTCCTGATAGTCTCCTCATGTTGCAGACCTTCAAAAAACACTTCAAAACATGTTCTTTTTTTCATGCTGGTTCCCACTGTTTGGACTTAATGAAGAATTCTTTTGTCCTTCAAGTTGAACATCAGTGATGGAAACTTACATTCTAAATCACTTGTTTTTTTTGTAGTTGTTTTACAGAATGTGTCTCTTCTACTATATACAGCAGCCTTTTGGAGAGTGGTCACATGTCCACTGTGGATCACAGAATAATAGAATGGTTTGGGTTCATCTAGTTCCAGGATCCATATCTGTCTTAACTAGCTTCCATGTAAAGGTGGAAATGAATTGATTGGGGTTTTTTTTTCCTCTGAGTTTTTTGTATTACGTATTTCAGTGAGGTGGAAAGCTGCAAAAGTTTTTTGTCCACTACTGTAATGAACCTTATTTGAAACATGAGCTTCATTTAGTGTTGAGGTGCTAGTTTCAAGGAAGGCTTAAGCCGTTGGCTTGAACTGTGGGTTTAAAAATAGTGTTACAGTTAGCAATTTCTGACTGGATAGTGACTTCTAGAAATGTAATTATAGTTCTTTCAGGGCAACTTTTAATCGGTTGTGCACCAAGAATAACGTTCCCAAAAATGTTATTTCTCATTCTGCAGCCCAAGATTTGCTTTTAAAAGCAGCTCGGTTGCTGAAGAGCTTAAGTCGTGTTTTAAGTCAGTGCCTCTGAGGTGAAGTAAAGGATTTCAAAAGCAGCTCTTGTTAGAAATGAAGTATTGAGTGTTCCATGTTTGCCATTTGTGTGCTAATTGACCTTGTAATATCATAATTATACAGACGTGCATTTCACTTTATTAGTTATTCTAAATATTTAGGAATGTTAGTATTTTTATAGGTTGCTGCAATACAGAGATAAAGAGAACAATGCTGTGGAAGTAAGATTGATAGCCAGACAGTGTACGCACTGTTACAGCACTGTCCAGAAAGAACATTATATTGCCTGGATGTAAATGAAGGTTCCTCTTTGTCTGGCTTTCTTGTGTGAATTTGCTTTTTCTTTCCCTTCCCTACATGATACTGGCCAGTCTGGCCAGTCTGGAATGTTTTGTTAATATCTGAATCTAAGTGCTTGAAAATGTTGCAAATTTGAAGCATGAGAACAAAAAAGAGTATGTCAGATTTTAGCTCTTTATTTAAAGAATCTGCATGGATTAGTAGGAAAATTCTAGTGGGACCAGTGTTCTTTCTTTCTTACAAAAATATGAAAAGTTGCAGTTCAGAAAACAAACTGCATTTAGTGCACTATAGGCTGCTTTTCTTTTTTTTTGTCCTTTAGAGCTGTGCCTGGAACATCAGAAAATTAAAAGCAGGTGTGATCTGTGACTTGCACAGACTGCTTTGTTGTGCCTCCTTCTTTCATTTTTTTTAATTTGTTCCATCTAAATGTGCAAATGGGAGAAGCATCTTAAATATTACACAGCAGATAGGGCAGTATGAGTTTGTTTGTATACATGGAGTCAAATTACATTTCGCATGTGTACTTGTCCCCTTCCAAAATAATATATTTCCATTTTAAATTCACCTGGATATGGATTTGTCATGTTCCAGGTTTAGTAGCTGAGTGATGAGCAGCTCTCCCTTCAGTGACTTTATTAAAGCCTATGAAAGAAACTAGCAGTGATCTTTTAATATAAAGACATAAATGCATTGTTTGAAACAACTGAAGTATGTGAGAGTATTATGAGATGATAAGCAGGAGATCTGTGTGATTGTGTATGGGTAAAACCAGTATGAGAATGTTGTGGTTTAAGCTGTTGAGAAAGACAGTGGAAGGTGTGATGAGCTGTTCTTCTGCCATCCAAAAGGTAGATTGCTGAAGTTTGACGGCCTGTTGGACTACTGAAGACCGAGGTAAAGCCACCTGTTTAGACTTTTTCTCCCCAAAGACAGCTGTGCATTCCTTACAGCAAAACATTGGTGAAGTGCACAGCCTGGCACAAGAGCTTCTTGTGTGCTGTGAACCAGCAGGACACAGTAGAGCAGGTGGACCAAAGAGCAGCTTCACCCAGTGAATCACATTGACTTCAGAATGAGCACAAGAATGGCCAAGTAATAGGCTGTTCTAACCAAACTGATTCTATAAGTAGAATGTCTTCCAGTTCTTTGAGAAAGGTTGTTTGAATGCAAGAATGGGTGAATTTTATGTAAGATCTCACTGCTGGCCTTGTTTTGTAGAGGTTTCCCTCTCCAAGGTCATTTGATACTCTATAGCAGGGCTGTAAGCTTCTGATGCACCATCCTGCTTGGTTGCCTGTAGCTCTGATGTGTGAAACTGTTGAAAGCCTTAGTTTGTGGAACTTCAAATTATTGTTAGTGGTTGCAGGTACCAGCCTCTGATGTTTTTCTGCTTGTCTGCTTGTAGAGCATCTACAAGCAAATATCTTATTTTCTTAGTCAAACTGCAGACTTAACATGAATGATGTTTCTAAGCAAAGGTACAGTTATTTGTGTACACTGCCTCATGGCAATCTTAGCTGCAAATCATTTCTGAACCCACATCAGTGATTTCTTTGCACCTTGGTGTAAGGGATGAAATCCCTTGTCAAGTGACTTGACCTGAAAACAGTTTGCAAATTCTCAGATTTCATAAGGGATTTAGTATTTTGACTTGGGTATGCTGCTGTTTTTATGGGTGGTGGGAAAGTCCTGAGAAGATGCATACACCATAGACTTGCTCTCAGTTAGGATCACATTTACACATTCTCCTTAGAAACAATAAATTTTGAGAAACAATAATGGTTTACTGTATTTAGAGTAATTTTACATACAGCATGTAAGTTTGAAATGAGAACTGCTGTGCAAAGTGCTGAAGGTAGTTTTTTATTAAATTGAATACTGGACCGGAAAAGATTTGTTACAAACATGCCAAGGTGGCTGTGTTATTGCACATGGATTTTGGTAATGTAATTGTAAACTTTGTGGACTGCTTATTGAAAGGGTGACTGCAGAGAAAACAAAGTGGATGTAGTGCTTTTCTGGAATGTTCTTACCCAGCTGCATCTGTGTTGCAGGTTTTTTTCTCTGTATGCTTTCCCTTCCTTTCTCTAGCTACAACTGTAAAGCTAGAGGTTGAGTTTAATAAACTTGAAAATTATCTCCATTTCTTGCTTCTAAGGAGGATTACTTTGAGAAACGATTGTCTGAGACAGTTGTCTCAAATATATTTTTTGAGTACTGTGCATACTCATAAATTGCTGTTTCATGCAGTGCTTTATGATACTGAATATGCAGTAAAGTTTTACGCAAGGAAAAGAGGTGGACTCCAAGTTAAAATAAACCAATGTTAGAATCCAGTACTCTTGTCTCCTAAGCATATCATTGCTCAGGCAGCTAATTTATTTCTTTTTCCTTCCTTTTTTTGGGGGGGTGTTTTTTTTTTATTTATTTATTTTTTTTTTGTTAGATAATTCTGAAGTGATACCAGGATGGGCTGTGAATGGGAGTTATTCAGGATCTAGAGAAAAGGACTAGGAAGTGAGCATGTCTGAAACACTGCAATCATCTTTTCTCTTCTTCCTCCTTTTCCCTGTTTCTATGACAGATACACAGTGCTGGCTTTCTTTGAACACTTATTAATCTTTCTGTAGTCCTAATATTCTCTATTGTTTCTGTTAGTATTTGGAGGAGCATTAATATAAGTGTTCTATAACACAGCAATAATTTACAATTTTATGTGTAAAAATGGGGCTTTGCTTTTTTGTGGTTTTAACAATGCTCTGTAAAAAGCATCAGACATAGCTGAATGCTCTAATTTCTTTACTTCAGAATGGGTTTATCAAGGAATTGTTTCCTTGCATGAATTATTTTTTTCCCAACACCAGTAATGGGTATCACTTTTCTGTTCTTCAGGTCTTCCCATTTGGTGTTCTCACTCATAGTTAAGAACACAACAGGGTGTGCATAATAATAAAGTCAAGCTGTGGTTTTGAAATGTGTGGGCTTGCTCTGTCAGTAATGAATTATTTCCATTTTTTTCTTTTTTAATTAAATCATACATGAGAGATCAGCAGGAAGGCTGGCTTGTCATGAGGGAAGTGGTGCCGCACCACAGCACGCAGTTTACATGTAGGTGCCGCTTCTCATTTAAATGTGCGACAGATTGGGGGGGGGGGGATTTTGTCAAATAGAAAGGAATTTTTCACAGAACTGAGTTTGCAGCATCAGGTTTGTGCATCTGTGAGTAGATTTTTATATTTTAAATCAGAATGCATTGTCCAATCTGTTTTATAATACCCTCTGTAATGTGTTTTACTCTGTAGTCCAATGAAAACCTTGCAGTTAGAAACTTTGGTTTAAGAAAATAATGCACTTTTTTTGTATTAATGTATTCTTTTGTATTGATAGGGACTGAAAACAAAATAAGTCCATTCTCTGGACCAGAGATTTGATAGCTGCCTTTTATCTCTTTAAATATTCAAGTGTTGGGCCTTACTGAATCTGGTGTACCAGACCAGGTTCAGTTATGTTACAGCAAATTATAAAAGGGATCTTTAATAAAGGGCAGGGGGAAGCTCAATGCTTATTCAAGTAAATACTACTTCTTAGTTCTATCTTCACAAGTTTTCTCCATTGTACCAAAAATTCTGCTATTTCTTGCTATTGTAAGCATGCTAATACCACTTTTTGAAATATATATATGGCTTTCACCAATGAGTAGAAAGTAAGTGGAGAAGAACCCAAGTTCCACTATGGTATTTGATAGGAACAGGTAAGGGAGCTATACATGAAGAGCCATATTTAATCTCAAATAATTTATGTTTTAAACAAAACTTTTTTCTGTAGTATTCTCCACACAGTGTGGCATATTTAGTGTTGTTGTTGTGTCTTGATGCTTTTAAAGAGCTTAATCTCTTTTTCTTCATGAAGAATATCATAATGAATACTGAAGCACTAATGTAAAAAGAACTTCCTATACTTATATTTTGATTAATTGGTAAAAGATTTTTATGTAGCTTTGAAAATAAATGTTAGTGCTGTAGTAAGAGGAGAATGTAACAATGGGAGATATTAAGCCACTAAAGCCTTGTGAGCCTTTTATAATTCTGTTAAACTCAAAATACAAATATAAAGGATATTCATGTTCCTCTGGATTCAGTTTGTCAGTGGGCTCAAGCATTTTGATAGCTGAGTTCTTGGCTGGACATGATGTAGGACAGATATATGCTTGAACAGAGCAACTCCAGGGTGCTGTGTTTCTGTTCTGTCCAAATCCCTTTATATATATGTATGTTCATTGTGGGGTGGAGAAAAACCATTTATTTTGAGCTTTGAAAGTATAAAAATAAGGAACTTCATTTTGAGAAAGAAATGGTCAGCTTTTTAGTAGAAAACACATATGACAGTGTAACACTTTAAGATGTGCTCTGTATTCAGTTTGCCTTTAAACAGAGAACATGTCAGCTTTTCTTAGTTTAGCCACTACCAAGACTGAAATAGTAATATGCTGCTCGCAGAGATCTCTTTTTTGTAATGAATTTTGAGGATGCTCATACACAGTTAAGAAAAAGCAAACCCCTGAATGTTACTGGGGTAGAAGCAAGAGTGCCCCACAGCATCATGGGAAAGAGATGTCGGGTGCAGTTCTTTTTCCAGATGGCACCCCTACAGGTGAGGCAGCAGGCTGTGAAATTATGTTCTAAATTACACTACAGATGAGCACAGCACACTGAGCAAAAGGCTTTGGTATAAGTGATAAATGAATTAATTCAGTACCATTGACAGCTTATTGTAACTTACAGGAATGCTATAATGAGTTGGGGGAAGATAGAACTGGGATTGCAAAGGTCAGGGAAAGGACAGTGACAATTTCCTGCATTTCTCATGAAAAAGTGTTTTGCAGCTGTACTTCTTGCACTTGTTTGGCAGACGTAGGTGATGGGCATTTTAGCCAGGAAGAAATAACTGAAGAGCTGATCCGTAAAAATGTTGATTCATAACTTAATGACTCTTGGTGACAACTGGTCTTAAGATGTGTCCTAGAGGTTACATTTAAAATACTGTAAAAACAACTCTTTCAGTTAAAGACATCTGAAAGGATTTTTTTTTAATTATTTTTAAAACTGTAAGAGTAAGAGTAAAAAAAATAAAACTCTGGTCCTATTCTGTGCTCTATGCCGTAAGCATAAAGTCTGCATGGTGCAATTAGAGCTCCTGGTCTTTGCAACTGTTTTGCAAATGCTTACTAAAAGTACTGCTCAAAAAGCAGTAGTCTTTGTTCTGGACCAGTTCTAAGGACATGCAAAAAAACAGGCAGTAAAGTGGAAGAGCAAACAACATTTGGAAGAAGAATGCCCAGTAACGCACTGTCCTGTTACTGGAAGAAACAGGTTGAGAAGAGGGCATTTCCATTTTCTTCAAACTGTGTTCTTGTTGAATGCATATACATTGTGCTTCAAGTTTCTTGTGTTCTAATTTTAATTTTAGGTTAGTTTTCTTTTCAGACTGCACTGTGAATGGTGACGTTTATAAGTAATTTTGAACTTGCAGAATGTTTTGTTCTAAGAGCTTTAGATGAAATAAACATTCAAGATGTGATGAACTTGGAGTAAACTTGGTATTCTTAGCTGTACAGTTCCTATGCAGTGCTGTCTATCTTCAATAAGGAGGCATGATCGTAAAATCACAGAATGGTTTTGATTGGAAGGGACTTTAAAGCTCATCTAGTTCCAACCCCCTGCCACGGGCAGGGACACCTTCCACTAGATCAGGTTGCTCCAAGCCCTGCCAATTCTGGCCTTGAACACTGCCAGGGATGGGACAGCCACAGCTTCTCTGGGCAACCTGTGCCAGTGCCTCACCACCCTCACAGGGAAAAACTTCTGCCTAAGATCTCATCTCAGTCTCCCCTCTGTCAGGTTAAAGCCATTCCCCCTTGTCCTGTCACTACCTGCCCTTCTAATAAGCCCCTCTCCAGGTTTCTTTTTGTCCCCTTTAGGTACTGAAAGGCTAAATAAGGTCTCCCTTCAAAAATAAAAAATAATCCCTTTGATTGTAAAAATGTGGTTGGTTACTGCTGTCCGGGCTTGTAGGACTGCAGGTCCTAATTCTGGACTTGCAGTTGTCTTTTTTTCTTCTTTCTTACTGGCAATGAGTGTATAAATCAAACCATATGGCTAAGCTGTTTTTTTAAGCAAAATGAGAGTTGTGATGCTATGTGAAAATCCAAAATCTGTGCCAGTTTAATTTGTCTTAATTGATTTCATGTCATAAGAATGTGGTGTTGTATTTGGTAAGTATGAGGATTGTTCTCAAACTTGGAAGATAGAAAGGGTGTAAAGTAAGTAAATCAAGTGAAAACCAAAGGGTTTATATATCTCTTGGAAATCTGCAGTTTACTTAAAAGTAGTTGAGGAAAAGTATGTTCTGTATAACTTGTATCTAATACTGCTATATGGGGGTGTTTTATGTCTTGGAAATGTTGAGTTAAGAAATATTATTTTCTGTTTCAGAAAATGGCTGACTAAAGTTTAAAATAACTTATTCTAAACATGCATAGCAGTATGATTAAACTGCTGTCAAATTAACACCAAAAAACTCATGTAAATCTAGTTCTGACCGGTTTTATCCTGAGAATTCTTTTAAGTTCAGTCACTGCTAAATGATGCAGAACATCCGGAGAACCTATGTCTTTGGCGTATGATTTATTTCTGCCTTAGTGAGCATTGCCCAAGCTGCCACAGGGCACCACGAGATTGCAGACGTGAAGCAGCAAAGATGCATTCCAGTTGGTGTTTCTCTGACAATTTTAATGTTACTGGAAGTTTGAAGTGGGAAGGGATTTTCTTGGGGTTTGGGTATTTTCTTTGTATGGTGCCTCCAAGTTATTACGAAAAAAATCAATCCATACAGCTTTTCACTTTGAATTGAATTTGATTTCTTTTGATGTTGTAGGACTATAGGGTAATTGTTGGTGTGTTGCCTATACTTTATTATTTAGTTAGGTGCTAGATACTTGTTGTTTGGGAAATTAAAGATGGTATTTCATGTAACATAAGTTTTGAGGTGAAAGTACTGCCATTGAGAAATTCTCTGGGTGCTGGCTCTTTTTGAGGTACATGAGCAATATGAAATTCTTAAAATATGTTAAGAAAGTCTATATGTAAGTTGATTAAATAGGCTACAGAAGAAGCATGATGATTTCTGAAATCTTTCCTTTTTCTGTAAACAGGGTTATTTCCTTCTCTTTGAGTCAATGCTGGATTCTGTCATCTATGCAAAGGACAAATACCTGACTGAGGGAGGCTCAGGTTGGTGTGCATAATTCTTTTAATAAATTTAGCTCTGGGGGGAAACTAAATGAACTCTGAGACTTAGAATAAGCTATGCATGGATGAGAAAGTTGCCAGTCTAAATGAAAAATGTTTCCATTAGTATGAGCTTCAAGGCATTAATTTACTGTATGGATAATAGAAGAACGTTAGATGGGGTATCAAGGTCTCAAGTTAATGGTGTTTTTAAGAATAGAAGGGGTTATTTATTCTTGAGTACAGTCTAAATTTTTCCTCCCTACTTCTTCCCACACACGAGCATTTGTTTTCACCTCTCAAAATCCCAGTTTTTGCATAACTATAAACAGAGGAAAATAAGTTCTATTCTGTGGGATGTGGCACTGTTTGAGTAAGCTGTTGTGAATTATAGAAAGAATGGATAGGATGTTTTTTTTTGGAGGAGGGAGGTTGCATGGGGAGAACATAGTTTCAAACAACAGAAGCTGCATGAAATAACTAATGGAATTGCATTGGTTTCTTCAGCATATTTTATCCTGCTGGGAATATACTAATTTTCTTTGTGATTGGATGGTAGGGAAGGGACAGAATATAAAAGTTTTATTTTTAAGTAGATTTCTTTTATCTTTTTAAGTAGGTTAAGTAGTGTCATCTTAAGCAGTGTTTAAGTGCCTGTAAATATTTATTCCTCATGTGATGCCATTTTCTGCACCAGTTCTGCATATGCTTTGTTCCTTGTGCTCTATTCCTTTGTCAGTATTCTATTTCATATTGACCTTTGCAATTGTAGTCATCAGTCTGGGTTGTTTTTTTTTTCCCCTTTTGTGCTAACCATGCACATAGTTAGTTTCACTACGCTGACTTCATGATTGGATTAATGACTGTTTAACAGTGCTCACTGCAGTGCTTCTCTGATTGCAGCGAGCTTTTGTATGCTACAGAGTGCAGTAGAAAAAAGGGGGGATTATGCAATGGTTCCACGTTTGGCCACAAAGCTGACTATACCAGCAAGAGATTACTGTTCATGTGGTGAAATATTTAGAAGCCACTTGAACATCATGACAGAGTAAGAGCTTTTTTTGTTTTTAGCAATTTAGAATTGTCAGGAGATCTGAAATACGGTTGTTCTAAGCTCTGTTACAGATATATGATGATAATTTTACATTGCAATATGATTAAGTCTGGGGGACATTCCCTAAAATTGTAAGGAATCTTATGTTTCACTACTATTTCCAAAGCTTCTGAAAAGGGCCAGAGGCTTGTGACCTCTATTGAAACTGCTATAGTGTCCTTTTTTCTAGTTATATTGTTGGTAGTGGGCTCGTGCCTCCCAAAGTTTCCTTTGAAAGACAGGGTATGCTGATTCTGCAGTACACATATACTTTGTGCTTTGGGAATATGTTTGGACCTTATTTGACTCTTCAAAGGATACAGTGTTGTACAGTCACAGGTTGGTATGGACAGATTTTAAATGGAACGCTGTTTTCTTAAGATGCTCACAATTGCTGCTCCCCTGCCAGCTTGTATAGCAGGTAAATGGCTGTGCCTAAGGTTACTGAGTAAGTTGCTCACCAGTCAGCTTAGCAAGACAGACACTTCTGCAGTGTGGATGAATAGCAGCAGGACTGTGGGCATATCCAGGTTTAGGTGAGCCAAAACTAAGAGCTCATTCCCATGTGAAGCCTTACCAGAGAAACTCCTGAATCTTCCGTAAAGCTTAACTTTGTCTTGAGCCGCTTTGTACTGTTGAATCCAAGATCATTATTACTGGGACTGTTTGAAAGCTAAAAAATAGCAGTAGAAGCAGCTGTGATTTGGCCAGATCTTTGAGTGATTGAGCTAGGAATAGAATCCAAATGTGTAACTTTGTGTTCAGTCAGTCATATCGTCGTTACTTCAATTTAGCCTGTTGGCCAGCTGAAGTGAATTATGCCAAACTGTCTAGGGTAATGTATACAGTACATAATAGCTTTATTTGGGAACAAAATGCTTGCTGTCCAGGACCCATCTGTTTGTTCTTTAGAGCTGTTACTGGCTTGCGGTTTTTGCATATACTTGAGGGCAGTGCACGTTAGTGAGGGGTGACATAGGTAAGGAGGGTGTCATTCAAAACGTAATGCTGTTTGCTTGGTCACATTGAAATGATGATGGTATTCACTTGGAATCATTTCCATATCCCTGTAGGATTGCTGCCTTACCCTTCAGCATCGTGAAGTTTGTGAGGCATTGCTAAGCGATAAAGGATTTCCCATTGTATTCTGTTCACCACGTGAGCTGTTCCTAGTGACAGATGACTTCTGGGCACTGAGTCGAGAAGGACAGATGGTCAAAACGATGAATCTGTGAGAGCATTGAGGACTGTGCTTTTTGTCCAATCAGCATTTTGTTCATTTCACTCGTGAGAAGGAAAAATTATTAAATTATAGGCTTAATGAGATTAAAAAAATAGTAAGTCTGTCAGGTTGCATGGGCAAGTATTGCAGGGTTGCAGAAAGAGCAGGGGATCGAGGATAGTGGGTGAGATGGCAAATGCAGTTTTTTAAGCAGATGCATTTAAACATTTTCAAAAACCTACAGTGTTTAGATGATTTAGGCTGATATTTAGATAACATGCTTATGTTTCCAGTCAAACCTCAGTATAGCATATGCTTCTGTACATAAGTTAGGTAAATTTGGAAATTAATGAATCACTGTAGTCTCTTGCCTATGCACTGTTGATGGAACACAGATTTCTTCTTGTAGATTCTGAACACGCATTGTCTACTTCTTTGTTGTTAATTTGATGGGCTAAACTAAAATTGCAGCTTAGATTACAGCATTAGTGTTTACGGTTTTGCTTCTTGTTAAGCACTGTGTATATAATATATATAATGATATTTGATATGTAATCAATCATAAGTTCCACTACTAATTTAAGGATTTGCTGTGTGCACCAAGAGATTTAATTAAAAATTATTGTACCACTGAAATATTTAATGCTTGATAGACGTGGTAAACTTTTTGTTATTAACACAATGTCCCAGAAACGTGGGCTACTCAAAGGAGGGAAGGTTATAAACTAGTTGATTACTTTTTGCTGTGGTTTTCACTTGCAGCGATGCCAGCATGCTCCTGTAAGTGTATTCTGTAACTAGAGACTTCCAGTCTCTTTGCATTGCTCTTTTCGCCAAACACCTGGCATTCTTTTGAAGAGCATTTCCCTGAAAAATACTCCCTCAAAGGCTTGTATTCTTGGCTTTTGTTGTCTTGCTTCACACTGTGTTTGAATTTTTGCAGCATCAGTGGTGGCTCTTGGAGGTCTGAGTTGCTGGGAGGTAAAACCAGATTGAATGCAGTTGTCACGCTGGTAAACAGCAACATCAGATCTTCAAGAAATGGAAATTCCTTATTGATGGCTCCAGAAATCACTTGCAAATACTCCTGCCATCAGATTTTAAATCTTTGTGTGTGTGGCAACTGTCAGGTGTGCTGGAACTAAATTATTTGTTTCAGACAAGGCAGTTTGAACGCCTTCCTGTTTCCATTCTCAGACTGCCTTTGTATTGCCAAGTTAATTGTAGGCTGTTCCTGGAGAAACCTCCTCTGAATCCCTTGTCTGTAAAGTAAGGGTGATGATAGCTTACAAATGGGATTCCAGTTTAAGCTTGCTGGTGTTTCTTTATTTATTCTGTTTTAAACAGAGGTGAGAAAAATGACAGTGCGTTCATATTTTGCATAAACTAGTCATGCTAAATGTAGATTACTTACTTTAATGTCTTCACATGAAAAGAAAGAAGCTTTTTTAGACAGCTCTTATTTATCATTAATATGTGTGATCTTATTTCCTAAATCTACTCTCACTAGATGAAAGTTCTAATTTCAATTTTCTGCTTCTATCTTCAGTATTTTGCAAGGGAAAAAAAATACCATTTTTCTGACTTACCATGCTCTACCAATGATTTCTCCATACTCATTTTGATAAACTACAATTTCAGGCAGTGCTGAAGACAAGATTAATTTTACAGTTCATCAGATTTTGGGGAGAAAAAAAGAGAAACTTAGCTTCAATTTTATCAACACAGACAAACTCGTGTATCAATAAAAAAAAAAATAAAGTGTTTATTATTAGGCAGTTTGCTCTGAAGCCAGCTCAAGGATTCAATGTATGTGACTTTTAGAGGCTTTAAAACTCAACCCAAAACATTGGAATTTCTTTGTGGAAAGAAACTATCTGAATATAAATTGGGCTTCTCTTACTGTTTGATAATGCTGTAGACTGCCATGTTCATAGCAGCTGTTCTTTGCGTCTTTTCTAGTCAGCAGTGGATAGAGATTGCTAAGGGATTGACTGGCTTTGCTCTAGGCAGCAGTCAAAAAGGCAAATGTCAATCTTGCACTGCCATTTGGAAAAGCTGTAAAGCGTACTTGTTCTGAAGATATTCTTGGGAGAAGTGTGAAGATAGTGTAAGAATGATAGCGGTCATCCTAAAGCTGTGGGGAGAATTGACAAGGAAGTTATTCTCTGTTGGGTCACTTCCATATTCTTCAGATGCAGATAGAAGAGTTGTTAATCTTTTCCAGTACTCAAAAATATTTTTTTAAGTTGTAAGGCAAGTACCAGCTAGAGCTGGTAAGGAACAGGAATAAAATTCTTGAGTGAGTATATTTGTGCTTTTCTGGAAATAGGGTATTTTCACAGAGGTTTCTTGTTATTGCAAAGCTCTCATCTGAATTTTCCTTTGGCTCTACAGTTATTAAACACATTTTATGTCAGTCTCCATATATAAGCCAGAATAGTATGTTCTAAGTTACTTTCTTCAGGCATCAAGTTTCCAGTCATTTCCTAGCAGAGGGATTCAACTGGAAAGATCTTTTGTCATGAAGAGGAAATACTTGAGTAATGCGGGAAAACTGAGTTTCAGTTTCTAGTCTCTTCTGTGGACAAGTGGGACTCCAGAAAATAAAGTAGTAGAAAGTATCTTGTCCAAGAGCTGAGAAAAATTATTTGTTCTTTTAAGATGTTGCTCACTTAGAGAAAAGAAAAAGAAGAAAAAGTCCTCTTTATGCATACATAAAATAAAAAAATCGCTAATCTGTTTCTTTTGTTGCAGTTTATCCTGACATGTGCACCATTAGTCTAGTAGCTGTTGGAGACATGAAGAAACATGCAGACAAGCTACTTTTCTGGGAAGATGTATATGGCTTTGACATGTCTTGTATGAAGAAGGCTGTAATTCCAGAAGCTTTTGTGGAAGTGCTGGATCCAAACACAGTGATATCTACCGCCAGTGTCATTAAGGTACCATACTTCTTAAATGTGTAGAAGGCAGATTAGAAGTTCCCTCTTTTTACGGAGGAGAGGATAAAAAATACGCATGCACACAAATTTTGGCATCTTCAAAATACTACAAGTGCAGTAAGGTTCTTGGTGTTAAGACTGGAAGACTCATTAATTGCCTTTGTTTTAGCAAGTTTGAGCTCTTAATAAAGTAGCATTCCCACATTTAGATTGCTCTGTTTTAAATTTTGTTCTATCCAAACCCAAACTTGCATTTAAGTTACAAGTTGTGTCACTGAAATTTAAACTATACCAAAAAAACCCTCCACAACATGGAATGTAGAATTTTCTTTTACTTTGCTTCCCTTTTCAGTTCAGTTCGTGTACTGAGTTGCATAACTTCATCCAATAGAGCAACCATGTCTGAAAATGCAATGTTAGTTTCTGCAATACTAATTGAATTAATTTTATGCTTGCTTTTCTGCGGTGTCCTTTTTTTATAGCAGCTTTGTCACGGGGAATAGCAGCAAAGTTGATAGTGCTTCATATGAGAGAACACTTACATGATAAGATGTAATTCCAAAACACTGACTAGTTTGCAATTCTGATGGACTTTGGAACAGGTCAGATAAAATTGAAAGAGGGTCTATTATAAATCAAGATTTTCTGCCACAATGGTATTCTAATTATTATTCATACAGTTACTTTTCTATTGTAATACACTTAAAGCAGTACTATTACTGCCCTTCCTTCAATGGGAATTACCACTTTAGTAAACAGGTAATTTCTATTTAAATGCATTCCTATGTTACTTTGATATAGAAGAAAATAGATTTGTGTAATTTATCACTGAACTTGAAACCATTACTGAGGTCTCTTCCAGTGTAGAAACTACTTGGTGTGGTCAGTTGTCAGTCCTGCCCACAAAAGCAGTAATGGGTCAAGTACAGTTTTGGTGTAAGTATATCCTGACACAAGTTATTGTTTAAGCTTTTCTTGTCTATAATTTGATTACAGGGAAGATTTTAAAGTTTAAATTTCCTTTTTTATTTTTTATTTTTTTTAATTGGGCAGTCAAATATAGGAAGTGCTGAGACTAATACTTCTTTAACTTGAGTAACTACTTTAGCTTCCTTATGCATCTCTACTTCTTTTTTTTACAGGACACCTGTAATAGGTTCTGTGGCTTAAGGCTTACAAGTGTCTGTTTTCCTTGAGTGTAAGGAGAGGGTCAAGTGATCAAGTCAGTTGTTGGAATATATTTTGCAGACCTGTCATTATAGTGAAGATAAATTCCACCATTAGTGAATGAATGTGCACAAAATAGAGGTACAGACAAAACACAGATTAAGAAGAGCAAGTAGTGACAGGACAAGGAGGAATGGCTTTAACCCGACAGGAGAGATTTAGATCAGATATAAGGAAAAAGTTCTTCCATGTGGGGGTGGTGAGGCACTGGCACAGGTTGCCCAGAGAAGCTGTGACTGCCCTGTCCCTGGAAGTGTTCAAGGCCAGGCTGGATGGGACTTGGAGCAACCTGGTCTAATGGAAGGTGTCCCTGCCTGTGGCAGGGGGTTGGAGCTAGACAATCCTTAACCATCCCTTCCACCCCAAACCATTCCGTGACTCTGTGAAGAGTCTAAGGCTGTAATTATTAGCCATCTGACAGGTTTGTGCAATGAGTGAGGCATAGGCTTTCTCACCTGGCATTTTAATAACATTTTACATGTTCTAATTCAAGTGGTAGTGTAGTTGAATACTTCTTTCAAATAGGTCAAGTTTGGTATACAGAAAATGAAGAACGTATATGGTACTGCAAATAAGCAGCTGTAGGGATGAGTTAAGCTCTGTTTGTTAGGCAAACAAATGAACAACATTTTAACCTGGAAAATGTTGATAATTGGTTTAATGTGCCAAATGAGGTCTATGAGCTGATAATGCCCCTTTCGATTATGTGCCATGATGAGCAGTCACTCTCCAGCTCAGGTTTATGTGATTTGCAAATTGTGTCATCGTGCAGCAGTTTCCATCACTTTGTTTCTTAATGCTTTTGTACTCGGGTAGCAGTCAGAGTTTTTAAAATAGCCCAAAGTCAATGCATGAACTTGTTTGCTGAAGTTACAGTACAAAGGAGTAAAATTAATGAGTTGAGCAAAGTGGCATTACAGGTAAACTGTTTTAATCAGTAGCCATTCCACAAAGCAAATGGATTATATTTTTAAGGAAAAGTTTTAAAAGGTTCCAATTTATCATATGATTATTACAGAAGATATTTTAGTGTGTTTGCTCTGATTAGCTGCTGCTTGTTTTATATAGTTTATAGTGTAACTTCTCAGGAAGCAAAACTTTGTTTAAGGAAAGACAAAGCAGCATCAAGAAATATTTATTAATTATAGTTGTGATATTATATTCAGCATTATATGGCATTCTTGAATAAAGCATCAGCCTTCCAATATCTGAGGGGCCTACAGGAGTGCTGGAGAGGAATTCTTCATCAGGGACTGTAGTGATAGGACAAGGGTGAATGGGTTGAGATTAGATACAAGGAAGAAGGTCTTTACTGTGGAGGTGGTGAGGCACTGGAACGGGTTGCACAAAGAAGTGGTAAATGCTCCATCCCTGACAGTGTTCAAGGCCAGGTTGGTTGGAGCCTTGGGTGACATGGTATAGGGTGAGGCATCTCTTGCCCATGGCCGGGGGGGAGCTAGATCATCTTAATGTCCTTTCCAATCCTAACTATTCTATGATGCTGTGATTTTAACTGAGTACATAAGCTAAAGAACTTCATACAGTGGAAAAAAAAATTGTGGTGTAATTTTTATGAACAACTGAAAATCGAAGCTAATTGCACTCTACAAAGTCTGATTTTTATATTGAAATGCACATTGCAACGTTACCACTGTTATCCTGGATATGCTGTGTTTTGTGTTAAATTCAAAATAGCAAAGCAGTTCTCTGCCTCTTGGCTTTTCTGCTCGGTTGCATCACTTTGATATTTCACATACTCATACACCTCATGGTTGTGCTATTATTCAGGAGGGCATCCAGAGGCTGGAGAAATGGGCCAGTGGTTGTCCTGTGCAAAAAGCTCGGGGCAGCCAAAGGGCAATGCATAATCCTGCTGAGGGGAGGGAAGAATAACCCCACTCATCAACAGGGGCTGAAGGTCTACTGGCTGGAAAGCAGCTTCTCTGAGAAGAGTTTGACAGGCTGAGGGAGCTGGGCTTGTTCAGCCTGGAGAAGAGGCGGCTCCAAGAAGATCTGAGAGCAGCTTCTAGTGCCAAAAGGGGCTGACAGGAAACCTGAAGAGGAGGTTTGACAGGAGCATGTAGTAACAGGACAAGGGGGGATGGCTTTAAACTGACAAAGCAGAGATTTAGATAACAGGAAGAAGCTCTTCCCTGTGAGGCTGGTGAGGCACTGGCACAGGTTGCAAAGCTGTGGCTGCCCCATCCTTGGCAGTGCTCAAGGCCAGGTTGGACAGGGCTTTGAGCAACCTGATCTAGTGGAAGGACCTTATCAGTGCATATAAATGCCTCATGGTGGTGGAAAGTGGAGAAGGTAGGGCCAGATTCTTCTCAGTGATTCTCAGTGGCAGGTCAAGAAACAAGGGGCACAGGTTGAGCTACAGGCAGTTGTCTTGAAAGATCAGGAAATGGTATTTTACTCTGAGGGCAATTGAACAGTGTGTCACAGGTTGCCCAGAGAAGTTGTGGAATCTGTCCGTAGAGGTATTCAGGAGCTATTTGGACATGGTTCTGAGCAACCTGCTCTAGCTGACCCTGCTGTAGACTGTGATTTCCAGAGGTCCCTTTCAATTATTCCATGATCAATACTACATTAACCTGGCAAATCAGAAAAGCCCAGATTGAGCCTGTATCACTTTTGATACTGTATTCTGCCATGTGGCTGTATGAACAAGGAGTAAAACGGGTGAAGATGCCGGTGAATATGACTTGATTTTACCAGTGGGCAGCTGTCATCAAGCAATTGTCTTGAAAGAAGTGAGCTACTACACTTGGCTCCGTAGTGCTACTAGTCCAAGTGCCTGTTAGTGCTGGCATTTTGGGAAGGGGTGTTTTAGGTTGTCAGTGTGCCGACAGGATTAAGTGGGTTTTAAGCCTCTTCCCATTTTTCAGAGCTGAATTAGTATTGCCCTCAAGAAGTTGTCTCATTATGTGAGCAACCTTCATCCAAAGGAAGGTCTCTAAATTTAGCACTGACAGAATTGTATTACTTCTTTCAACAGCATGTTGACTGTAATACTGCATCCACTCCAGACTTAGAATTCTCTTCAGATTTCACCCTGACCATCACAACGAGCACAAAGTGTACGGTAAGACAATTTTATTTTTTTCATGTATGGTCAATATCACATTGGACTAATAGCGCATTAATTATGCTTCATTTATGATCAGTCCTTGCCTTGAAACCTTCATTTCCATGGTACAGAGGTGTCAAATGAGCTCTTGTAAAGAGAGATAAATGTAAAACTCCAGTAGTAATGTTACAGTATAATGCAGGTACATGAGGAAAGGGAAAGATGAGGAGCCTTAGTACTGTTTTGTTATCTAGCCCATTCTCTGAAAGAAGAGGTTTCTGTTCAGACATCTTGTTACCACTGTGCTCAAGAATGACATGGGCACTATTCTCAGAAGAGCTTTTCTGTGTTTGGTAAAAAGTGAAAAACAACATAAGGACAAGGTAGACTACAGCTCCGACAATAAACATTTAGCAGCTCCTATGGCAAACTCAGTTTTTCAAACAGGAAAGTTGATGAACTTTACATGTGAAAACTGAGGGGGAGCAAATAGAACACTAGAATCTGAATCTGATAACCGGAGGGTTTACTGCATTTATTTTATTTATTTCATGCAAGTTAGTATTTTTACTTGATGGCAGTTAATGTGACTTATGTTCAAAAGGACACTAAGTCTAGAAAGGCTTTGAAATTTGATGGGAGGGGAGTTCTAGTTGCAGCATACACAAGCTTATTTTTAGTATTATTGACAGTATTACAGTACACCTCCGTACCGTGAAAATGAAGGTTTCAAGGCAAGTATTAGAGTGTTGCATTAAATTAAGTAAAGAATCTGGAACAAATCTGAGACTGATCAATTATTTGTTTATCAAACACTAGTCATTATGAAATGGAAGAAAAGGAAAAAGTTTTCAGTCTGGGCATTAGAATTAAATGAAAACTCAGCACAAGGGCATCTTTCAAACACTCCAGAGAAGTTGTGCCTATGTTGCTCACGCTGAATTTACATAAATGCACATTCATTTTGCAGCTTTTTTTTTTTTTTTTTTTTTGGTCGTTCAGTACCTGGTGTTTTGGATTAATGAAAAATGTGCCCTGCTGTTTTTTTCTGGGAAGGCCCATGCAATTTATGTTGTGTGGCTTAGGTTCCAGTTTTCAGGCTTAAGTCAATGAATATACCAAAATGTTTTTACTTAGCATACTTCATGTAGGGGAGGGGGAGTGACTTTTGAAATAAAAATGACATGAATGTCTTTAGAGCAAAAACAAATTAGATATTCTTACATAAATATAAGTTTTTAGATGTGTATTTGTTGTAGATGTGTATTTAGAAGTGTACAGATGGGTACCTATGTGAGGATTCCTTTTTGATTTAAGATGCACAGCTTGCTTTCTTTGTTGGAATAAGGAAGAAAATAATCAAATAGAAGGATATTTGTATTACTACCATTAGGCAGGGCAGTTGTGATAAAGATGAGGTACAGATGAGAGAGTCTGGGTGTTTGGATTAAAGTAATGCATTGAGTTTTTAAACACTAAATGATAAGCAAAGGCAGGATGACCTAATTTCAAAGATTTTTATGATTGCACTAATATGCTTTTACATTCAACATCAATTATAAATGCTTTCTACCAATTCATTCAACTATCCTCATCAAATTTGACAAAAGGTGTTAGGCTCTGAGATCTGCAGTAGAAACTCAAATTTTTGTAGTCTAGGTTTCAGTGATACTTCACCTGAGAGCTTCATGCTTAGTTTTATGCTGCAGCATGTCACAGAATCAAGTCCAAAGGGGTAGCTGATTTTTAATATATCGTGGTAAGTCTGCTACAGCTGTTTTATTTGTCTTTTGTATGTATATAAGAAGAAGAAGAAACGCAGGCCTCCTCTGATGCGGACACAAAGAACATAGAATCGTAGAATCATAGAATAGTTAGGGTTGGAAAGGATGTTAAGATTATCTAGTTCCAACCCCCCTGCCATGGGCAGGGACACCACGTTGCTGTATGATGTAATTAGTTAAGTATTGCAGTCTTGGGTATCTATGTCAAACAATGTAATACCTGTTTTTTGATGGGTCTGTGTGCTGGTTCACGCTGCTATGTATCTCCTGGTTTTAGTTGTCATAGAATCATTCTAGTTGCCTCAGGGCAGCATCAGCTTTGATTGCAAAGCTCCAGTTGCAGCCCTGAGTTAATTTTTTTAATACAGCCACTTTTGAATATCTGATTTACAAAATCTTGGCGATCTTTTTTGGCTTTTGGGTAGAGTAAAATAGCTTCTTTTGTAGACATCATTTTCCTTAGCATTAAACCTTTGCAAAAAAACTTCATTTCTGTTCTATCAATCTGTGGTATCATTGACTTATAAATCAAGATGTGCACCTTGCAGGGAGAAGGGGAGGGAAGTGAGGGAAAAACAATGTTTCTGCAATTTCGCAGTGAATGCAGGTCCTAAAAAATGATCAGAACTCTGTGAAGTATTTTGCACTTCATGATTTAGGTTTATTGACACTTTGAGTGAAATTTCTACTTTTTCTTTGATGGATTGGAGAAGTTTAGTTGGGAGTTGGCAGTTCATCCATCATATCAGGCTGCCTAACCTTGCAGTAAATGAACAATAAAAGCCCATTATTTATATTGAGATTTTTAGGAGATGCTTTAGGATTGCAGTTTGTCCTTTGAAAATAACATTTGATGTATTTCTTGTTTGCATCCATGTTTTGTTGTTCTGTTGGCACAGAAAGAGAAAGCTGGTTTTATTTCCCAAAATTCTAGCTTTTGATACATGTCTGTGCTGATTTTTGCCTTTTTTAAAAAATGAGCATTTAAAAATATTTTTGCTTTATTTACAAAGTATTTTATAAAAAAAAAAAGAAGAAATTGAAATGTTATACTTGTACATATCAGGCTTTTTTAGCTTGCAACCAAAAATTTTTCTCAGCCCTTTTTGTGCCATAACAGTGTGGAAGCAGATTTGATTGTCTCATTCCTAGTGTTGCCATTAATAACAAAGCCAACTTTATAGACATGTGTTGCCATCAGGAGTAGCATTCCTTTTGTATGTGGTCTGTTCTTCAAACCCAAGCAAGTGGAAAACTTAGGTGCGTGGTGGTGGGACAAAAGAGTTGTGGTCTCATCTAGTTGGAGTACACAGTGTAATTGTTGAAGAGCTGAACGTTTAGCTGACAGCTCTGGAGGCATTAGCTGTGTTGGGGTCTGTTGCTTCCTCCCATCAACCCGTTTGCACATCTGTGGTGACAACGTGGTTTGTTGTAAAAGCTGACAGGAATTGGAGCCATAATGCAGTCATTTTACCAACTCATTACCACATTTGCCTTGATTATGGCTTGGAACACTGCCAGGATCTCTCAGGCAGGAGAAGCTGCACTTATTTCTGTAGTAGGATGTTAACTAAAATCTGACGTTATTTTAGCCTTGGTCACTTTGGGATTTTGTTTTGTTTTGGTGTTTGATTTTTTCCTTTAGAATAATAGAATTTTTGAAGTTGGAAGGGACCCATAAAAATCATGAAGTCCAACACTCAGTGCTTCATTTTCTGCTGCATCTAACGTTATTTTGATAGCAGCATTAGAAAACAAAGGAGCCATGACTTTCAGTTGACTTTTCAAATTAGTCTCAGCAGAGAAGTTGACCTCTTCTTGATTTTCCCCATACGTTATTTCTGTTCTTGTAAACCGTTCTGGTGAACGCTTCTGAGAGGATTTCATAAAGACTGTGGGAAAGCTTCTCCTGGCAGAGTTAGGAACAGAGGGTTTTTTTCTGTTCCTTGTCTGAAAAGAGCACAGAAAGACTAGCCTAATCTCAAGGCTGACCTTTGGGCCTTGTCACCCACCTTTTGCTCATCTTTGGATTTTTTTTTTCCCCTCTCCATTTTGTCTGTTTGTAGTACAAACCTTTTACTTCCTGAAAATTGATAATGCAAGTGCTGAAATAGGTACTTCTTTCTAGACATCACAATTATTGCTAGTCTGACCTCTTGGCTAATTATCTGGTTGCATGATAGTGGCATTTAATTGTACAAGTTGTTCAAAAACCCTGCAGTTCAGAAGGCAACAGGATAACTGTTTTCTGGTTTTAGATAAATAGACTAAGGACATAAATGCCTAGAATTAGCGATGAGCATCCACAAAACAGAAGAACTATGCAATTCCCAAAATGTAAGATCATAGTGTTAATTGACTCATACCTGAGTTGTCTGTCCTTCCATCTGTAAAATATTTTAAATTAACTCTTATACTTTTATATGATCAAAAAAGCCTATCCTAGCAAAGTAATTAAGTCATTCTCATAACAGATCAGCCTGATGTCTCTCTGTAGGTATATCCTAAGGGTATTGCAGATGATCCTGTAATGCATTTATTGAGTCGTATCCTTAAAAAAAAAAAAGCTTAATGCTCCAAATAGGGGTTTTCTTCCAGGTGTTCAATTAAATAGGTCTTCAGGAAAAAAAAAATTGCTATCAAACCTGAGAAATATATAAAGATTGAGTGAAAAATAAACATTTTAAGTGTGACCTTATGTTGTGCTTAGGACTTATTGGTGAGGGGTGTCAAGGCTTTTTGTAGAGCATATGTTCTTCCTACTGACTTTTCCTTTATTCCTCTTGTGGTACATCACAAAACAGTATTTTTAGCAGTAAGTTTATCTATCATTATTTAGGCTTCAAAGACTGAAGGTTTACAAAGCATAAAATGGTTGCACAGAATCATTATATGAAATTGTTTCAAAGCACTTCTAGGGCAAGTTGCCTTGATTTCAGTCTTGCAAAAGATAATGGCCAAAAATAGATTTAATTAGCCTGCAAAAGTGCATTTTCCTAAGAAAGAGCTAGGGTTTGTCACTGCTGATTTTAATGAGACATCTGGCTAATATCAGTTAGTAGATGCTGCTAGGAAAATATTCCATTAATTGTATTCTGAGTTTGATCACTGTGTGAGCTTTTGAGATAACATATAATGATGATTACCCTCAGTGTAGAAATCAATTGACAAACTTCCTCTTTTGTCTGTGAGCATTTCCCCTGTGAGTCCATCAAGGTTGATCTTTCCTAG